CTTCCCAGGACAGAAGTACAGGTGACACATGCACTTTCTTTCTCCCGTCCAAGGTCTGGCACCTCTGCTAATACAACCATCTAGTATTCTTCCCCTCTAGCACCCTTTTCACACTCTGACCTTTCTGAAGACCAGGAAGTAAAGCAGGAGGAGGTGGAGAGGGATGCATTCTGGAAAGTTCCCTGGCCCTTAGGTGGTTCTAGCTTCATCTTCCTCCATTGGTCTCAAAGCCCTCATTATATACGTCTGCCAGGCTGTGCCACACCAAGGCTTCTTGTAAGCAGGCCTTTTGGTTTAGCTTATGGAGAAGACTGAATGATAAGGAGGGAGCCCATTTAGCTGTGTCAGTAAGCAGTCTAGGCTGTGCCAACTGTCCTCAGGCCTCTCTAGAAGGAAGAAACCACTAGCAAAGGGGTATGTACAAAACGGTGTCTTTATTGGTACAGTCTCAGGGGCAGGTAGGCACCATCCCATGGGCCCACTTCCCTTGGCTCCTAGCCTCAGCAAATCCAGCTCATCCCCTCCAGTGGGGTTGGAGAGGGCTCCAGACTCAGGCCTCTACATCCACAGGTGCACTGATTACAGTGTTCCAGGAAAGTCCTGAGCGAGGCTACCTGCCCATTTCCGGGCTGTCTGCCAACACAGTGGAAAGTGACTAGAGGAAGACGTGGCTGGTGCAGAGGGACAGCAGGGTGCAAGGTAACACCAGCGGTCCTCAGGGGTGGCACTTCAAGCTGCATCTGCCCTGGCAGGCCTGCCTAAGTCACAGTGGCTGCGCGGTGACATGAGATGGGCTGGGATGCTGAGATCTGACTATCAGGACAAGTGGCTGACAGCACATCAAGCTATTTTTTCCTCCGGGAGGCCCCAGCGTCACTGCTGTTGCTGTTGGGGGCTACTGCAGCCCGCTCAGAGGCAGCTCTGGGATCCTTTTTGGAAGTCTGCTTACGTTTTTCCTCTCTAGACGGTTTTGAGGACTGGAGTGGGCGGGGGGCAAGCAGGGTCTGTACAACCCTGACAGTCGCCACAGCTCCCAAAAGCCCCCATAGTAGGATGGGAGGCTCCAGAGGAGACAGCTGCGTGCGCACCCAGCTCAGTGTCTTAGCCAGAGCATTGCCTGAGCTTCGGGCCCGGAGTGGACTCTTATCCTATGGAGATAAAACCAAGAAAAGCCCATAAGATTTACTCCTGCAACGGGCAAGCACCCTGCTACCTCCCACAGTCCAGCTGACTCCTTCACACCTTAAGTCCAAACTGTTGGAGCAGCGTTTCCAACGTTGGGTGCCCCAGTGATACAGGTGGGAAGAATTCTTCTACCCACTGGCGGTGCCACCATTGACTGTAACAGAACTGGATAGTCAGCATGTGGCTACAGCCCAGGCCTGGCCCCCTCCCATCACCCCAGCCTTACCTCTGCTCCCCAGGCTTTGAGAACCAGTACTTATAGCGCTGGGCCCGCACGTAGGTGGGTGGCTGCTCATGAAAGGGGTACTTGGCAACATGGTTCTGCACCAGGCGGATTACTGTGGCAGGGGACGAAAGGTTAACATGGTTCTGAGCTTGTCCTTCCATACCCAGCCCCTCTTCCAGCCTATCCCTCACCTGGCTCTTTGCCCTGCAGGAGACGTAGCACCAGGCTGGTGAACCAGGGACTGTGTGTATGTGGGCCAAGGGCTGCAAACCACATCTGCCAATCAAGGCGTGGCTGGTGGGGTATCACGATAGGGGGTGGTCGGCTCACATTCCCAGGTTTGTACATGAATTCTATCTCCTGAAAGATGGACATGTGGTTAGCTGGCATGGTTGGACTTGGTCCCTTTACCCCAGCATCCTTTGGGAAGGCTCACGGTCCAGTGCTGTCCATCATAGCTGCCCTCCAGCACCACTTCAGGCCGCCCACCGAGACCAGTCATCCGACGGAAGAGGCCATACGAGCTGGCCAGCTGTAGATGCTCCACAGAACTGAACAGATGATGAGCTCCAGTCCAGAGATGCCCGTGGGTCCCAGGCTCCATATAGGAGTAAGGTACCTGCAAGCAAGTAGGCAACAGCTCAGTGCCGCCCCATCGTCCCACAGCCCCATTCTCCATAGGGGTACCTACTAGGCTTATCAAGAACATGGCCACTGTGGCGGTGCCCAGGATGGAGAGCTGGATGCTGGCCAAGATCTTCCGTAGCCATCCTTGTACCTGGATCCACCTGGGGACAGGGGGCCCAAGTATTGTCAGGCCACGCCTGAGCTGAAAGCAGCATCTTCCCCCTGCCTCTTCCGGTACATACATACCTCCAGAGGGCAATAAGCAATTCCCAGGCCAGGGAGGCTGCCCCCAGCCACACCGTAGGCAGAGTTACCATCTTCAGCCACTGGGAAAACTGGTGGAAGGTGAAGGCTGCCAAGGGAGGAGATTGTGATTAGGGGCTGAACCAGTCCTTTTCTTTAGATCTCCAAGCCGGCACTTACTGGTTTTAGAGAGGATGATATGCTGCTGCCAGTCAACCTCCAAGCCAAAGTAGAGCATGGTGCCATAGGCCAGCAGCCCATAGGCAGTCAGTTCCAGCAGTACGGAGAGCATGGTCAGCAGGGCCTTACGCCAGGCTAGGGGCAGGACAGTCACAGGTTGGCTGAGGATCTGCAGCCAAGGGGCTGGGGCAGAGGAACTCTTTGGGAGTACTAGGCGGATGACATCCGTTTGGTTGTAAGGACAGGATGACACTCACAGGTAGGCATCTTCTTGTGGCTCCTGAGGCCAGGCTCAGCAGACAGGTGCCGGTCATCCAGGAGGGAAGTGGTAAGCACCAAGGTTAGCAGATTGAAGAAATTGTAGTTACCAGTAATGATGATCAGGACTTGCAATAGTACCTGCAGGGAAGGTCGGCAATCAGCTCTACGGCGGGCTGGTCTTCCTGCGCCCTGCTAACCCGCAGGCTGACATTTTCACAAAGGCTACATGCAGCCTTGATCTGAGTAACACATTCCTCTGCCAGCAATGCTTTCCCAACAGCACCCGTGTCAGATGACCATTCCCAGGGCTTGTCCCCAGCAAGACTCGCTGGCCAGCGGTGAAGGCCACGCTCTCTTCTACCCACCTGAGCATAAAAGGCGGTCAACCGTAGGCGGCGAACAGGAGCAAAGAACAGGGGAGGCACTGCGATCTCGATGAGGAAGGTGGCCACCACACTGAGCTTGTGCAGCCAGACTGGCAGGTGGTGGGCAAACCAGGCAGCTGGCGTGGGCAGGCACTGTGTCTCATAGTGGTAGGTGAGAGCTGCAGGTAATGGGTCGGGGTCAGGGTTGATTAGAGCCTCCAGACCATCCCGGCTTCAGGCCCAGGCTCTCACCGGTAAGTCCCCACCACGCAGGGCAGCGGCTGGTCAGCTTGACCACACCAGAGGCAAACATGAGTCGAAACAGCAGCCAGCGCACAAGCCAGAATGGGAGGTTTTCGTGGGGTAAGGCTCCTGCTAGTCCACCCTGGGGGGCCTTGTGGTGGGAAGGCTTCTTCAATGGGGCTACTAGTATAGCCAGAAAGCCTGTCTCCAGCAGCAGGGAATCCCTATGGGGAGAAGAAAGATCATGAACAGTTCTTCTCCAGTAAGGCTGTTGCCCTCACAGGGTCCTCCCAGGAGACACAAACATCCCCAGCCCAGGCTCAGGCAGGAGTCACTCACCACTGGAAATAAAGGAACACTTGGCCCACCTGTAGGGAGAGGAGCTGTTAGGCTTCGTGTGTGTCTGCGGCACCAGGTGGGTTAGACAGAGGTTGAGGTTCTAAGGGTCTCACTTGCCTGGCAGGTTGATAAGTAGGCAACCCAGAGCAGCAGGTAGGTGAGGGGGTGTCTCAGAGAGTTCAGGAGCAGGGCACCCAGTGCTACCACGGTGCCCACTAGGGTCAGTAGATCCAGACCCTGGGCAGTATCCAGCCCCAGTCTTGGTGCCTCCCAGAGCAGGGTTGGTGTTTCCCACAGCTGCTGCCACCGACCCTTGCCTTGGGGTCGCAGTGTTCTTCGAGCAGGAAGGATGCCCTCTGGGCCATAGAGGCCTGTGGGAGGGCATGTCAGAGTCTTCCCAGACGAAATTCAGCCCAAGTTAAGCCCTGAAGGTGTCCTACCACCAGCTCCAGGCGTGCAGATGCCCTATAGTCAGGGCCTCCAAATGCGCTCCCCCCCCCCCCCAACCCCCTCAACGCCACTCTCCGCATCCTGAGCTGTGCCTGCGGATGTTCCCGCCCCAGGTAGGGCTTGCTCTACCAGATTAACTCTCTCAGGTTAGAAACTGTTGACCTCAACCCCAGGTTCAGAAGACCTAACTCTCGGTCACCACCTTCCGCGGGAGTCCAGGTAGAAATCTGTCTCCTTCTCCCTTCGGGGTACTGCCCTAATCCCAGATGAGAATCCGAACAGTCACGGGAAACCGACCCTTGCACACCTTCTCCCTCCAAACTCTTTGGGCCCGCAGTACCCAAACTACTGTCCCCTAGTCCCACGTAGAGAGGCCTGAACCTCACACCCGCCGCCGAGAGATCGTACTCAGGGTGAAGGAAGGGATGATACCACGTGTGTGTGTTCCACTCTCGGCGCCCTCACCTGGGATCTGGGTGTAGAGGGACGCAAAGGCAAACGTGTAGACAGCGGCCACACCCTGCAGGAAAAGCTGCTGTGGGACCCGGGAGCTCGCCATGTCCGCTACGCGGTCCGCCGGATCAGTGCCCGCTGGTCCCCGCCCCCCCAGCCCCGCCTCTGACACACGCCCCAGCTGGAATCCGGCGGGTTTGTCACTGTGCTCCACCCCGTGCCGAGGAACTCACCGCTAACTGGCCGGTAAACTTAGTCTCAGCGGGTCCTTCAGGGCCCCGCCCCGGAGCGTAACCACGCCCCCTGTCGTAGACCCCGCCCCGTCAGGCCCGCCTCTTTCCCCACCCCGAGCGCCTTCCACTTTGAAACTGGGGCCCGCGTTACGTCATCGGTGTGCGCGCCGCGTCCCAGGACGTACTTCCTGGGTGGGAACGGCAAAATGGCGCCAGAACCGGTGGCGGGTTGATTCTGCTGGCCCTATCCGGAGCCAGTGTACGGTCCCGGGCTTCTTGTCCCTTTCTGGACATGGAGGATGTGGAGGTGCGCTTCGCTCACCTCTTGCAGCCCATCCGAGATCTCACTAAGAACTGGGAGGTGGACGTAGCGGCACAGCTGGGCGAATATCTGGAGGAGGTGAGGGCGGCGGGGGAATGGTACGAGCCTGGGAGTCAGGCGTCGCTGCCACCCCCGCCTCCAGGTCTGTAGCCGTCTGGTGTTTTGTTCTCAGCTTCTCGTGTTCTTTTTCCTCCCCCTACTCCAGCCTGCCTTTCGAAACTTTCTTCAGATAGATTACCCTGGAGCTGTCATTTTCAGGTCTCTACTCGTTAGCGAGCTGTGAAATCGATTTGGTTGGACGATAACCATTTCTTCAACAAATACGTTACTTATATTTTCTTTTCGGGGCGCAATATATTAAGCATCACTTTTCTTTTTTTCGGTGCTTGGGATTTAACCTAGGGCTGTACGAGCTTGGCAAGCGCTCTACTGCTGAACTTAAAAAGAAAATCCCTTTTTTCTTCCTAAGGCAGGCCTTAAATTCGAAATCTTGCTGTCTCAGTCTCCTGATTATTTGCGAGTTCTAATTGACCCTTCTATGTCAGGGCTCTTAATTGTATTTGAGAGATTTGGATCCCGAAGGGAAAGGGATTTCTTACCTTAGACCTCAAGCTCCACCCATGTCTTCTCCCCAGGAGTCAAGTTAAGCTAGCTCTTAACTTGAGCTAGCTTGTCCAGAAGGACCTGCCTCCCAGTGTGTGGCCCTGCCCTCGCTGTAATCTAGCCTATCCGCATTCCATACCTCCTTTTTTAGCACTTTTTTAGATCTCTTCAGGCTCTGGCCGCTCCATTTACGCCTTTTCACACCTCAGCTCAATTCCATCGGATTCCACTACCTGTCTTTGAACGGTGGTGGTCTTCATCTTACACAATCCAGAAGACCCTCAAAATGTCCTGTAATTCAGTTGAGGAGCATTTGTTGGTCTGACAGTTTCCTTTCTGAAACAGTGCTTATTAGGATTTCTATTTCACTGCTTCTTTTTACTCTCCTAAATGTTGAGCTTCTCGGGGTGGAGCCTTCTTTCCCTTAAAAATAGAACATCTTGCTTGTGTGCTTTAAAATACGGGCGTTAACTCTATGTGGTGGGAGACGCCCATACATCTACTCGTAGGCTGTCCCAGTGCTGCCTCCAGATCTGTTTGTTCTCGCCACTCTCTTGCCTTTTTCTGGGATGGTACATGATCTCTTGGGTCTTATTTAAAGTGGAGCTCTTGATTTTTTTTTTTTTTTTTGGTTTTTTTTGAGACAGGGTTTCTCTGTGGTTTTGGAGCCTGTCCTGGAACTAGCTCTTGTAGACCAGGCTGGTCTCGAACTCACAGAGATCCGCCTGCCTCTGCCTCCCAAGTGCTGGGATTAAAGGCGTGCGCCACCACCGCCCGGCTGAGCTTTTGATTTTTGGTTCAAATTCTAGTCCTCTATTTTTGGTGAAGAGTTTTACTGTGCAACTAAAGGTGGAAATTAAGAGATATAAAAAGGCCCACACCACGTTTACCTACGAATTCTGTCCATTATACTGCCAGATTGTCACTTCAGTTCATGTGATCCGCATTATGTCTGGTCTGGACCTATTATACCTAGTTATTTAAAACCTCCTCATCCAAGGTCCCAGATTGGACATCATCCAGTAGCTAGTGTGAGTCTTCAAGTCTTCAAAATTAAAACGAGACAGGGTTAGGAGTGCAGGGAACTGGAGAGAAAGTTCATCAGTTAAGAGCACTGGTTGTTCTTCCAGAGGACCTAGGTTCAAGCTAAGCATCCACGTGACAGCTCACAACTAACTATAACTCCAGGTCCAGGAGATCCAATGCCTTCATGTGGCCTCCACCGGCACCAAACACACTAGTGGTGCACAGATACATGTAGGAAAAATACCCACAGAATTTTTTTAGAAAGTTAAAATCAGGCTAGAAAGATGAATCTCGAAGAAGATTGTGTGCTGCTCTTGCAGAAGACCTGGGCTTGGTTCTCAGAACCCAGATGAAGCTCACAATGGCTTGTAACTCGCTTTGAGGGGTTCCAGGGCCAGCTTCTGTTTCCATGGACACCTGCAAGCACATGGTACACACACATACAAATGCAAGCAGACACACATCTTAGAAAAAAAATATAGCCACGCCACAACACTGCTTAATTTAAAGCTTTCAGATTTTCATTACGATTCATTGCTCAGCAATTTTAGCCATATCCATGGTTCTGTACCTTGTGACTTTTTTAAAAATTTTATTTTAACTTTAAAAATTAAAATTATTATGTCTGTGGGTGCATGCATATCAATGTGCTTATTGAGGCTAGACACTTGTGGGAATCTGTTCTACAACATAGATACTTAGGTCCTTAGGCTTCATGACAAGCACATTTATCCACTGAGCTATCTCACGCTTTTTTGAATGGTTAACTAAGGCCTCTATGCTTGTTCTTGACTGAAGGGTATCTGTGATATCTTGTCCTGCTAGTGACTGTTCTATTTATAACCAAGTCTTTTTCATCCTGTAAGTCTTTTATTGTTGTTAATTTATTTTGGTTCTTTGAGAGGGGATTTCTCCAATTCTGGCGGTCTTGGAATTCATTCTGTAGACCAGGCTGGCCTCAAACTCACAGAGATCCGCCTGCCTCTGCCTCCTGAGAGCTGGGATCAAAGGCGTGCGCCACCACCACCGAGCTAAAATAATTCTCTCTCTCTCTCTCTCTTTTTTTTTTTGAGACAGAGTTTCTCTGTAGCTTTTTGGTTCCTGTCATGGAACTAGCTCTTGTAGACCAGGCTGGCCTCGAACTCACAGAGATCCACCTGCCTCTGCCTCCTGAGTGCTGGGATTAAAGGCGTGCGCCACCACCGCCCGGCAATAATTCTCTCTTATTGTGACATAATGTCACAAGGTATTCTTCAACTTGCTTGTCTGTGGTCTGTCTCTACCCTACAATGTAAGTTCTAAAAGGGCAGAGACTTTATATATGATTTCTTCGGCTTTGTAGAATGTCTTACACATAGTAGATGCAGGATAAATGCTTAATAAGTGAACTTGTGATCTGATGATTAACCTGTACTGCACAGTTGGCTGAAGAGTGCCAAGAACAGTGGTAAGAGGTCATACTGGCTGGGTAGTGGTGGCGCTTGTGAGGCAGAGGCAGGCAGGCAGGTGAATCTGGTTCAAGGCCAGTCTGGTCTTCAGAGCTACGAGCAAATTTCACAGCCAAGCTACATAGAAAAACCCTGTCTCAAAGAACAAAACAAAAACAAACAAATAAACCTGATGGCAAAGCAAACAGTAATTTATGCTTTGAGATAGAATATCTGCTCTCTAGGGAGAAATTCTAAATACCAAGGTAGGAGATACATTATTTGGTATTAGGGGCCTACTTGGCCTAAGCATTGTTTCTTTGTATTTTATATAAAGCAATGTAATCATAACTGATAGTACAAAAACTGATACAGTCACTAGAGAGATTAAGTGATATACTGGATGTCACAGCTGGTAGTGGACAAAGCAGATCTGTTCCTCCCCCGACTCTGTGTGTTGTCACAAATGGGTGATAGATTGGAAAGAAAAGGTTATTATGACCTTTTTGATATATTATGACCACTTTGACTGAGGGACCTGATTTTATTTGAGGTGAAAGGACTTGCCATGTCTGATAAGCTGAAAAAATGTGTAGAGGGAACATGGTGCTTACCTCAATGGAAGGCACGAAAGTGCAGCTCCTAGGGGAAGCCTGGTAGCTGGAGGAGACCGGATTTAGAGACCTGCCTTGGAGGCTCTGCTTAGTGTTTTAGGTCTTTCCCTCCGAGTGACAGAAAGCCCACAAAGCACATACAGGAGAAGACTGGGGGTCAGGTGGAGTCCTGTTAGAGGTGAGGCTGGGCCAGAGCTGTAGTCATTAGAGAGGAACCCGGAAGTGGTAAGGAGCTGATCCTGAATTGAACTGGCAGATGAGTAAAAGAGAGGAGCTGAGGTCCTTTAGTTTCTGGGAATCCAGCATGGACTTGCTCATTTGACTCTAGATTATAAACTAGATAGTTGAGCAAGACAGTTGGATGTATGGGTTTGAGCTGTAGTAAAAGTGTCTGCAAGATCTTGAGTTAATCCCTAAAACCTTGAACATTTCTGTGGGGTATCTTGGGGTTTTTTGTTTTTTTATGCTTCTCAGTAGGTGCCTGTAAATGGAACCTCAGGGAGAAAACTGCTCTGGGGATAGATTTGGCAATTGTTGATGTGTGTGGCTGGTCACTTGAACAGGGATGGACAGATGGCACTTGGCAGAAGGTGTTCAGTAGGAAAAAAGAGCCCAAACACTGGTTAAGAGCCAAGGTTTACAGAGACCAAGGAGGGCTGCAGAGGGAGAACTCCTTACAGCACCAATCAGGATAGAGAGTGCTGTATCCTGGCCAGCGGGATATGAATGGGGGTCCTTGATAAACCTGGAGGGGAGGAATGGAAGGGCAAGAGACACGAGAACTGACAGCAAGACAGGATTTCTGATCAAGCTGTGCTTTATAAATTCTCAGAAGCTGTTATATAACAAAATGGGCAACGGGGAGGGTGTCAGGTCTGCTGGAATTCAGATCTGGAGACTTCCCTAGCTGAGAAGGAAATACTGAGGGTCTGTGATTGTTGACTAACAAAGGAAATGCTAATTGTTTCTGAAGCCTGGGGCCTGCAGGTCTCACTAGGAGAAGATACCAGGTTGATTTCCTAGGCCCTGCAGAGGGGATAGAGGTAAATATTTTACTTAACTTGTTAGCTTAAGATGGCTGTAAACAAAAATACAGATCTCAAAATACAGGTCTTTGCTCCCTGCAGTGCTGTACTCTTCTCCTTTTCCTTATCTCAGGGTAAAGGGTCTTTCTGCTTCAGTCTGTCCTGGTTGGTTTTAATGTAGGTGGATACAATGTGAAGTGCTGATGAGGGCTGGTATGCAACTTTAGCCATCATGGTCAGTGTCCTTTGGGGACCTCTCTTCCAAAACACTTGATCTCACAGTATCCGAGAACTAGGGGGAGTTGCAAAGATCTAACCTCCCTCTAGAAATACCCAAAGGCAACTGGCAAACTCTAGTAGACTTAGAGCTGTCTATGTTTGTGGATGGTGGCTTGAGCTGTTCCAGAAGAAGTGAACATAGGCTTCTCTTGCATGGGCATCTTACTCTTTGAAACTGACCAACTGTTTAGCCTAGGTGGACCTTGAATCCCGCCTCAGTGTCCCTACTGCTGGGATCATAGGCATGCCCACCAATCTAGCTTACTAATGTTCTCTTTTGCAGCTGGACCAGATCTGCATTTCTTTTGATGAAGGCAAAACCACTATGAACTTCATTGAGGCAGCACTGTTAATCCAGGGCTCAGCTTGTGTCTACAGTAAAAAGGTGGGTTCCACAGACTGCCAGCCTTTGTGCTTTAGTGTTGAGCGGGAGTAGCCTGATTATTTCCTTCTGGGACAGCAGCAGTGTGCATCTGTCTGTAGCCTGCTTTCATTGTGGGTCACACTTAGGATCCCTTCACGACTTCCAATACCAAAGAAAAACTGGAGTTTATTGTTTGCTTTTGTTTATGGTTTTTTTTTTTTTCCGAGATAGGGTTTCTCTGTAGCTTTGGAGCCTGTCCTAGAACTAGCTCTTGTAGACCAGGCTGACCTCAAACTCCTGGAGATCCACCTGTCTTTGCCTCCTGAGTGCTGGGATTAAAGTTGTGTGCCACCACCGCCCCGGCATATTGTTTGCTTTTTTTTTTTTTTTTTTAAAGACATATGCATCCCAGGCTGATCTCTAATGCTGTGTCTACCTGAGGAAGATGACCTTGAACTTCTGTTCCATTTGCTTCTATCACCTGGAGTGGTAGTAGGACAGGTGTCAATCACCATATCTAATTTTTATGGTCCTGTGGTCAGGGGTCAAAGCTAGGGATTCATGCATGCTAGGTGAGTGCGCCACCAACTGAACTATATTCCCAACCTGCTTGTTTTGGAGGCAGAATTTTATTAGCTAAGACTGACCTTGAGCTTGCTCTGTAGCTGAGGCTTGCCTTGAACCCCTGATATGTCTGCCTTTGCATCTCGAGCTGTTTGAATAATAGACATGTTCTCCAATATCCAGGTAACCTGGAGTTTAAAATGCCACTACCAGGAGATGGTTCAGTTGGCAAAAGTTTGCTGTATAAGCATGAGGGCTTGAGTTTGGATCCTCAGCACCCACATAAAAAGGCAGGTGTAACCCTAGCACTTGTCGGCCCTAGATCTCACTAGCCAGTCAGCCTAGCTAATCACTGGTCTTCTCAGGTCCAGCCTAAAAATAAGGTAGAGAGCAGTCAGAGAAAATATCTGAGGTTAACCTATAGCTTCCATAATCATTTATACAATATACACGCACATCTGCAACCCCCCACATAAACACAAATATATAACACATATCAAAATGGTATGGCTAAGCTAGAAGTATAGTTCAATTGTATAGCACTTGTCTAGTATCCATGAGGCCCTGGTTGTGATCCCTAACATCACAGTCAATAAATAAAATGACCAGGAAGAGAGGGTCAGGTGTGCTGTGAGCTCTGTTGTCCCTCAGGTACATAATTACCTGTAGCTCAGTGTGTATAAGCTCTACCTTCTCTGCTTCCACATGTGGCTACTGTGCAGTTGTGTACATCATCTAGGAGAACTGCTGGTCTCGCTATGATGGGGCCTCTGGTTTTGTGTAGGAGACCAATAAGCAAATGAAATAGGCAGGCCCATCATGGCTTACATTTTGACAGCGCCATCAGAGACTGCACCCTCCTGTGGACTGAGCAGTGTAGCTAGGAGAAGGAGCTGCAGCTGGCCTGGGGGCACTAGGCAAATGAACAGTGGGTACCATGTGTGAGGGTTCTGGGTCTACAGAGCATGTGCCAAGGGCCGTCTGAAGCATTTTGGGCACCCATCGAGCCATGGCCATGCCCTGTGTCAAGGAGGCTGTGCTTGAGAGTGTGTGGAGTATGGGACAGAGAAGTAGAAACTCAATTGTCAAAAGTAATTCTGACGAGACTGATCTGACTTGAGAATTATTATTGTTATTATTTTTGCTGTTGTATATGTGTTCTGTGCATATGTATGCCCAGGAATGTGGAACCCTGAGGTTAATGTCTGTCTCTTTACTTGATCCCTCTCCTCTTATTTTTTGAGATAGGGTCTTTCACTTAACCACTGGTTTGTTTGGCCAACTGGCCAGTGACCTCCAGGGCTCCTTCTCTCTCTGCTCCCCAGTCTTCTCCAAGGCTGGGGTCACAAGAGTACACTGCTATGTTTGGATTTTTAACATGGATTCTGGGGATCCAAACTCAGCTTCATGTGTTTGTACGTCAGGTACTTAAATGTGTGGGTGTGTGCCTGTTAGTGTAGTTTCTCTCAGAGACCCGAGGCATCTGATTCCTCTGGAGGTGGAGTTACAAGTCGTTGTGAGTAGCTAATGTGGGTGTGGGAACCTAACTCAGGTCCTCTGGAAGAACAGCAAGGACTCCTAACTGCTGCGCCATCTCTTCCGGCCCCAGGGAACTATTTTTGTGTTCATATTTCTGTGTGTGTGTGTGTGTGTGTGTGTGTGTATGCATGCGGTATGTGTAATGTGTATGTGGGTGGACATGTGTGGTCACCTAAATATGCAGGTCAGAAGTTGATAGAGGAATTGTTTGCCTTTTTTATTAAGATTTATTAATTTTTGTCAGTGTTGTGGCACATGCCTTTAATCTCAGCACTCTTTGAGGCAGAGAGTTCCTCCTGAGTTCAAGGCCAGTCTGGTTTACAGAGTAAGTTCCAGGAAAGCCAAGGTTACATAGAAACCCTGTCTCAAAACAAAACAATATTATTAATTTTACTTTATGCTATGAGTGCCTTACCTGCTTATTTTTATGTTCACCATGTGTGCTTGGTGACCTCAGAGGTAAGATCATTGGATCCCCTGGAACTACAGTTATAGTTGTGAACTGCCATCTGGATGCTAGGAACAGAACTTGGGTCTTCTGTAAGAGCAACAAATGCTTTTGATTGCTGAGCCATCTGTTTTTCCAGCTCTCCACCTTATTCTTCGACAAAACCTCTAACTGAACCTGGAGCTTACTGTTGTAGGAGGCTGTTCGTTCGTTCCCTGCTGCCCAGACTCAAAATGATCACTCAGAAACTATATTATTTAGAACACTGCTTGACCTATTAGCTCTAGCTTCTTATTGGCTACCTCTTACATTATTAATTTAACCCATTTTTTTTAATTTAACCCATTTTTATTAATCTATGTATCACCATGAGGCTGTGGCTTACTGGGTAAAGTTCTAGTGTCTGTCTCTAGTGGGGCTACATGGCTTTCCCCTGACTCTGCCTTCTTTCTCCCAGCATTCTGTATACTTTTCCCTGCCTACCTCTGTTCTGCCCTGCTACATGCTCAAGCCAGCTTTCTTTATTCATTAATGGTAATCATAGCATACAGAGGGGAACCTCACATAAGCTTACTTTACAGTTGGACTGGCTAGCCAGCAAGTGCCCAGAATTTGCTGTCCCATCCCAGGGCTGGAGTTTCAAATGCATGTCACCTACTCTACTTATGTGGATGCTCGGAATCTGAACATAGTAAGCATTTTACTCACTGAGCAGTTTACTTAGTCCGTTTGTTTGTTTTCAGACAATAGCTTGGTGTGTAGCCCAGACTGGCCTTGAATCTAAGATTTATAATTTTTAGTTAATCTCAGCCTTTCAGTGCTGGAGCAGGCTTGTCATTTTTTTTTTTTTTTTAAGAGATTGGGTCTTATACCAGAACTTACTCTATACTTTAGACTGGCATCAAACTCATGATAATGTTCCTCGTTCAGCCTCCTATGTACTGAGGTTACGTGCATATGCCACTACCCTGGGTAATGAGAATTACTTGATAGTACGTGCCTAATAAGAGGTTCCTCCCCCTGCAAGGGGTATTTCCAAGCACCATTTGAGATAGTCCTCTCCTTTCCGTGTCCTTATTGCTTGTCTCTGCTTGCCAGGTGGAGTACCTCTACTCGCTGGTCTACCAGGCTCTTGATTTTATTTCTGGCAAGAGGTGAGTATTAGAAGTGAGCCAGGAGAAAGAGGCCTTCATCTTCTTAGCTGAGCCCTGTTTGCAGCTTGGGAGGCTCCTGAAGTCTCCCAGGATGCTCTTGGTATGTTTTACTTTATCAGGCAAGCCAAGCAGCTCTCCTTAGCACAGGAAGATGGGAACAACAGGGCTGTCAACTCAGGAACTCCCCATGAAACAGAGGATGAGGTGAGTTGGGGCATGCGGACTCTGCCCGAGGTGCTCGCTTGGCCCTGCTTCTGTGACTACTTGCTTTCTCCTGCAGTTGCTGTCACTGGATGACTTCCCTGACTCCCGGGCTAATGTGGATCTGAAAAATGACCAGACATCCAGTGTGAGTGTCCTGGCCTTTGTGAGGTGGGGATAGCAGTCTTTCAGTGTTGCTCCTTGTAGAATCAGAACTCTCCTTCCTCCACCCACAGGAGCTGCTTATCATACCCCTTGTGCCCATGGCTCTGGTGGCCCCTGATGAAATGGAGAAGAACAGCAGCCCCTTGTATAGGTAGAACACTGCTAGCAGGAGAAAGAAGGGCAGGAAGCCTGCCCGAGAAAGGTCTCTGTAGCAAGCTTGTTTTTCTGCCAACACAGCTGTCAGGGTGAGATCTTGGCCAGCCGGAAGGATTTCAGGATGAACACATGTACCCCCGACCCCAGAGGTTCCTTTATGTTGGATCCAGTGGGAATGTGTCCTGTGGAGCCTGCAGATCTGTCCCCCATGCCAGGGAGCCAGAAAGGTAAGGGTTTGGATGTTGAGGCTTAGTGGGAAGTAGCTCTTTTGAGGGACTACTGCTGGCTACCTTAAGCCTGCCACCTCTAGTCTTAGCGGCTGCCTCACACCACATCATACCTTTCCCACTGTAGGTTGTTTGGCTAGAGCTTCTCTCCCTCATCTTTTTTTGTACCTTGATTTCCAGTCAACAAGTTCCTAGCTCAGCTTAGGGTGGGGTCTGGTATCTATGTCCTCCTTAGTCTCAGACTTGGGGCCTGCTGGGTTCTACTTTCTGCTGGCATTCTAGAGAGGCTTCTTTGACACCTTCTGGGGACGAGCTGACCAAGTCTAATCTGTCTCCAAGATGCTGAGGATGCTGAGGGGCAGCTGATGGAAGTCTCTGGGAATGGGAATCATGTTTCCGTACTCAACATCTCCCAAGAGCCAGGTGAGAAGAGAGCACCAGGGAGGGTGATCTTGGTAGAACTCTGACCTTGGGTGCTCTCAGTCTCCTTAGCCTCTTGTTTGCCTCCTGTTCACTGGCTTTTGGGGAACAGGCCTAATGATAGCAGATAAAGTCTTATGTTGACTCTCTGTACTGTGGTGTAATCAGTGAGATTTGCTTTCCTAGGTCTTCTCTGGGTAAATGTAAATGGTAACAAAGACTATCTGGGTTGGGACTGTAGCTTGGTTGGAGCACTTGCATATACAAAGCCCAGGGTTCAGCACACAGCATAGATAGATAGATAGATAGATAGATAGATAGATAGATAGATAGATAGATGGATGATAGATAATCAAATACATAAATGTTTGCCAAGAGATAAGGTAAACCAACCAAAGCATGCCAGTATGAGGAAGAGAATATAAAGCCTTGTTTAGTTTTTCAAATGCTAAAGTGTGAAGCTGAGAAGAGAGGCTGGCCTGTCCTGCTCTTCTAAGAGCTGGCCATGAGCCGCATACATGGGAGCTTTACCTGCTGCCTGACCTCCAGCCTCTTTAGGCTAACTAGTTTCTTGGTTCCTACCCAAACACTTTTCTAGAAGGCCCAATGCTCAGCGGTGGTGATGAGGATGCAGAGGATGCAGAGGATGCAGCAGAGCCTCAGGAGGTTGCTCTAGAGCCTGCAGAGCCCAGGACCTCACAGCAGGTGGGACAACAGTGACTCCCAGAGCTCAAGCTGTCAACAGAGCGAGCTCTGGTTCTGGGATAGAATCAACGTTACATGGGGACAACGGTGCGGTGGTCTTGGCTCCTGTCTGTCACACTGATATTGTCCCATCACTCTAATTTGGTGTTTCCTCTCAGAGAGAGTGTCTGCTCAGTAGCCTGGCATCCTTCAGCCAGACTGTTTAATGGCAGCTTCCATTAGCTTTCCCTCTTTAAGCAGAACTGCAGTTGCTCCCTGAGAATGGACTGGCATCCCTGAGCCCTGTGGAGCTCATTGTATCTGCACTGTCAGCTGATTAGTCTGGAGGACTTTGCTACCTCTTTCAGCCCCCACAGGAGTAGTCTATCCAGAGAAATCAAGAAATCCTTATTTATTGAACACAAACAAGCCACACAAAACAAAAGCCTTGAGGCTGGGGATGTAGTAGAATGGTGAAATTCTTGACTAGCCTATGGGAAGCCTCGAGTTTAATCCCCAGCATTGTAATATAGTACATTAAAAAAATTAGGGGGCTGTAGAGATGGCTTAGACGTTAAGACTGTACTTTTTTTTTTATATTTATTTATTATGTATACAATATTCTGTCTGTGTATATGCCTGCGGGCCAGAAGAGGGCACCAGACCTCACCACAGATGGTTGTGAGCCACCATGTGGTTGCTGGGAATTGAACTCAGGACCTTTGGAAGAGCAGGCAATGCTCTTAACCACTGAGCCATCTCTCCAGCCCCCTGTGTACTGTTTTTCAGAGGATCCAAGTTCGGTTCCCAGCCTCCACATCAGGCAGCTGCTAACCATCTGTAGCTCCAGCTCCACTGGGGATCTAGTGCTTCTGCCTCCACAGACAGGCATCTGCACTCCTATGTGAATTGACTGTCTCCCCACACATAAACAATTTCAATTTTTAAACTTTTCTCTTTTTTTGAGAAAATGTTGACTGTTCTGGAACTTAGTCTGTAGACCAGAGTGGCCTTGAACGCACAGACCGCCTGCCTCTGCCTCCTGAGTGGTGGAATTAAAGGTGTGCGCCACCACTGCATGGCTTTTCTTTCTTTCCCTTCCTTCCTTCCTTCCTTCCTTCCTCTCTCTTTCTCTCTCTCTCTCTCTCCTCCCTCCTTCCCTCCCTCCCTCCTTCCTTCTTTCTTTTCCTTCCTCCCTCCCTCCCTTTTCTTCCTTTTTTTTCTTCTTCCCTCCCTCCTTCCCCTCTTCCCTCCCCTTTTTTCCTTCTTTTCTTTTCTCTTTTCTTTCTTAATAAAATCAGCCAGGCAGGGTCATTGATGCTTAGTGTAAGCATGAGGACCTGAGGAACAGAGTTTAGATCCCTGTAGCCAATATAAATGTTGGGTAGGTGTGGTGGCCTGCCTGGAATTCAGGCCTGGAAGTAGAGACAGGATACCCAGAGCAAGCTGGCTAGCAAGATAGCTCGGGTGAACTTTGGATTTGTTTCAGAGACTCTGTCTCAATGAATAAAGGTGGAAGAGAATTGAAGATGCTTCTTAACATCCAGCTTCAGCTCCTACATGCACTCACACACATGTGCACTCACACAAGCAAAACAAAAGTTATAAACACAAAAAATGGGGAAATTACTCCTGCCCAAACCACCTGATGTATTTAGAAGGAAATATTAACAATTATGAAATTTGGATGGATGTTATAGTCTATAACATATAGCTTTGGTTTTGTTTGGTTATTGGAGACAGGGTCTCATTTTATAGCCCAAGCTAATCTTGACTTTGTGATCCTCCTGCCTCAGCCTCCCAAGTGTTGGGCCAAATATGAGCCAGCATGTAGTTTGTCTTGTTCTTTCCTTGTTTATTTACTTATTTATATTTCTGATGCTAGGATTGTCCCCAGTAATTTTACATGCTAGGTAAGCACTCTACTAGGGAGTCACACGCTCCCAGAAATATTGTGAGTTTTAATAGCAATCCAAATCCCCACTCCCTTCCCTCCTCCCATTCCTTCCACAGCCCCTCTAATCCTAAGAGAGGGTAAGGCACTTTGCTATGTGGAAAGTCCAAGGCCCTCCCTACTACATCTAGGCTGAGCAAGGTATCCTTCCAAAGAGAATAGGATCCCAAAAAGCCAGTATATGCAGTAGAGATAAATCCCAGTGCCACTGCCAGTGGCCCCTCAATCTGCCCCAGCCATATAACTGTCAATCACATTCAGAGGGACTGGTTTGGTCCCGTGCTTGTTCCTTCCCAGTCCAGCTGGAGTTGGTGAGCTCCCATTAACTCAGGTAAACTGTTTCAGTGGATGCACCCTATTGTGGTTTTAAAGGAAAAATTTCCCTGATGACTGGTTCTCTTCAGGATTGTTTGTGTTTGTGTGTATGTGGAGGCTAGAGGTCCACCTGGGGTTTCATTCCTCAAGAGCTGTGACAGGTTCTTCCATTGCTTGTCTAAAGTATTCCCCACTTCCAGAAGTTTAAGTGCCAAGTACCACAGTTCCTTGTACTAGGTTATAGTTAGTCCCTCCATCTGCATGCGGGGCCATATATTTTCCCCTTTTTATTATTAAAGGTCAGACCCGAGAGGTATTTTCTATCACTTTATCATGTTCTCTTCCTCACACTTTATTCCCATCGGTTGCAAGTTTTAGATCCCAGGAAGGGCTTTTGAACATGAATCTAATTTGTACCTTAGTTTCCTTTCAGCCTCCAAGCCCTAAGAAATGGCAAGGCAGCACCCCTATCTCGTTCTCTCATTTATCTGATTTACTTGCCAGATTAGTGAGAGGCTAGCATGAAAGATGCTAACTGCATCTCCCTTTATTGCATTTTCTCCTTTTTACAAAAAGTTCTTGGTTGGCTGCCGTCTCAGGCTCCGGGGCACTTCTCACTACACAGCAATTGTGAAACAACCTCCTCCACTTCTTGCCAATGATCTCTACCCTGGTGCACTGTCAGAGACTGCAGAATTTCTTCTAAACCCTTTAGCTGTCTTCAGAGCATCTCCATATTCATGTGGTGGACCCCACTCACCAGGCATGCTACCTATACCTTGTGGCTAAACTGTCATCTTGGAATTCCCTTCACAGACACTCTGGGCCTGATGGCTTAGCCTTAGTTGCATGTCTCATTACCTGTAGTAAGAATCACGCCATTGCTGCCATAACAAGACGACACTGTCACACAGTGCAATGGAAGGCATAGCTGTATTTGGACATCTCCCCATTCATAGAGGCTTCTCAGCTTCAGTTACCTGACTTGCTATGCTGTATGTCCAGGACCATACACTTCTCTCCATTTCGTCTTTTGTTCTGTTGTGTCCCTCTTTGGTGGCAGTTATGTTGTGTGGCGTTCTTTTTTCAGGGAGGTGTGAACAAATGTCTATTCACCTTAGATAGAGAACTGAAGACAGATCAAAGTCCAACTTGGTGAACCAATGAGCGTTTTTTGGGGATGGGGGGTGGGGGATTACTTGGAGGAATATGGGTGAGGTGTTACCTGTAGGAGCAGAAATGACTCAGAGACGCCTGCATCGTCAAAGACCCACCCAAGCATTTGTGAAAGCTCACAGAGCTGGAAACCTGGAGCATGCTGCACAACTCGTAGGCGAGTGTCTTCATGGGGGCTTGGTTGGTCTCAGCCTCTTCTATGCAGCTCAGCTTATCCGAGTCTTCACTGAAGCTTGGCTGGTATCTACTTCTAAGCCTTCTATGTAGTTGGGCTGTTGGGAGAATCTTCTCAGCAGTCTTTACTGTTTACGTATTCTTGGGGAACTAGGGACCTAGTGAATCTAGTCAGTTTTAGGAATTTCCTGAAACTGTTGAGTTTACTTGATATGTTAATGACCATCCTGTAGAATGGAGTGTTTCACCTCATCGTAGAACAGCAGTTCTTAACCTGTAGGTTGCGACCCTTTGGGGGGGGGTGTCCCATATCAAATATCATGTTTGCATTATGATTCATAACTGCAGCAGAATTACAGTTATGAAGTAGCAATGAAATTGTATGGTTGGGGTCACCACAACATGAGGAACTGTGTTAAAGGGTTGCAGCATTAGGAAGGCTGAGAGTGCTGTCTTAGAACATCCTGCTGTTCATTGCCCTGCTCACATCCTGTGTCATAGTTTTACTCTAGGAGGAAACTGTTCACCACCACAGTGAGCACCACCACACCTGGCTGACTTTATGTAAATGCTGGGGACTAAACTTAGGTCCTCAGGCTTGCAGGGCAAGTACTTGCTCAACTTTTACTGGCCCCTCTTTACGGTTTTTACTTTTGGTCCCTAAGAGGGCCCTTGAACCATGTTTTTGCTGTGACACTAAGCAGAATTTCTGGGCTCTTGAGAGCTTTTGGTGGACAAGAGCCAAGAGAGGAGAGCCTGTGAGCGATTTCTTTGCAGACTGCCACCTTGCCCAGGAGATACATGCTGCGGGAGCGACAAGGGAAGCCGGAGCCTGCCTCCCGGCTACAGGTGAGAAATGCCAGGTCCCTGGCAGGGCAGGTATATTCAAAGGTATGTCTTTGCCCTGTTGCCCTTCAGACTCTCAGCACTTCTTCCAGAAACTTAGGTCCTCTCCCATGTAACTTTGGGCCTCTCTAATCCTGGGTTGTCACCACTCTGTGAGCTCTGGTGGGGAGGGCTCCTGCTCTTCCCTCAACTTCTGCTTGTTTGTACTCAGGAGACCCCAGATCCCTGGCAGAGCCTGGACCCTTTTGACTCCTTGGACTCTAAGGTCTTCCAGAAAGGTCAGTAGAATTGGTGGCCTCATTTATGTTCCCCTGCCTAGGGCTACTGAGTTATAAGATAGTGGATTGGAGGGGGCTTTGTATCCCCTTTCCTTGGCTACTCCTGAGGCAGTCTCTGTCTCCAGGTAAGCCCTTTTCTGTGCCGCCTGGTATGGAGGAGCCTCCAGGACATAAGCGCAAGAGGAAACGTGCCACCAAGCTGCAGGACTTCCACCAGTGGTACCTGGCTGCCTGTGAGTGAGTGTGGGTTAAGGCGGCACATCCCTTCACCTGGGTACTGTGATTTTGGCCTGGTTCTTGCTAACTGCTCTCTCACAGATGCTGACCATGCTGACAGCAGGAGGCCTCGGCGAAAGGGCCCAACCTTTGCTGGTGAGGCTGGAGTCCTACCTATTCGGGGAAGGTAGTCTTTGCCTTCCCCAGTTCCTCTGCCATCCTCCCTGCCAGGGTTACTTGACGTCCTGGGTGGACAAGGGTGAGCTTGGTCTGGATGGGGAAGCCCCTCATAAGGCCTTTGTCTGCAGACATGGAAGTGCTGTACTGGCAACACGTAAGAGAACAGCTAGAGAGCCTTCAGAAGCTGCAGAGGCAGAAGGCAAGTGCCCATAGTACTCAAGTCTGAGACCCACAGGGCCTGGAAGATGAGTCTTCTCACAGATATTCTCTGGACAGATGACCGAGAGATGGCTGCCTGGGGCCAAGGAGGATCTGTGGCCTGTAGAGGAGGAACGCTTGGAAGAATCCCTAGAAGACCTTGGGGAAGCCGGTAGGTGCCATTTGATGTGGGGTGGGATGGGAGGAGTCTGTGCTCTCAGCACCTGCTGCTGTCTGAGCAGCTGCCTCTGGTCACTTCTCCCATGTCTCAGCAGATGACTTTCTAGAGCCTGAGGAGTATGCAGAGCAGGAGGAGGTGATGCCTGGGGAAGCTGCTGACCTAGGTAGGTAATGGGAGCACCTGCGATGTGCTGAGGGAGCAAGAGCTGCCTGAGATGAGGGTGTGCAGCCCCATAGCTGCAGCAGCTCATGGTTGGGTCTTTCTAGATGCAGAGGCTATGCCAGAGTCCCTGAGATATGAAGAACTGGTCCGAAGAAATGTGGTAGGCCTGGGTCACGGGTGGAGCAGTGGGGCTCCTGGGCCCTTACGTGCAGGAAGAACACACTGGTCCTTCCATAGGAACTCTTCATCGCCACCTCCCAGAAGTTTGTCCAGGAGACAGAGCTTAGCCAGCGCATCAGGGACTGGGAAGATACTATCCAGCCCCTGCTCCAGGAGCAGGTTAGGATGCTGTTGGGAACTCCAGTCTTCTGCCACCAGCTTGGGGTTATCCGAGCTGTCTCTCCACTTGAAGCTAACATGGCCTTTCCCTGTGCAGGAGCAGCACGTGCCCTTTGATATCCACACCTATGGGGACCAGTTGGTTTCACGGTTCCCCCGGCTCAATGAGTGGTGTCCCTTTGCGGAGCTTGTAGCTGGGCAGCCTGCTTTTGAGGTGTGCCGCTCCATGCTGGCCTCCTTACAGCTGGTGAGTATCCTGGGACACATGGGATGGGGAAACCCCCTTGGACTCTGCTGATGCCTCGTCTCCACAGGCTAATGACTATACGGTGGAGATCACCCAGCAGCCAGGCCTGGAGGCAGCTGTGGATACCATGTCTCTGAGACTGCTCACACACCAGCGAGCCCATACACGCTTCCAGACCTATGCTGCCCCCTCCATGGTCCAGCCTTGAGTGGAGAGCACTGAGGCGCAGGGGTGGAAGGTAGTGTATACCTGGAAATCTTTTGCCCCTAATGTACTATGGGGCCATTTATTCCAGTGCTGCCTCCAGGCTGGCCTAGCCTATTAAGTGATACTGCTACCCCCTCCCTGTTCACTCAACAAGCCATTTAAATGGACTGCGGATAGAGAGCACCCACACACTGACTAAGTACATTCATTTATTTACCGACAGGGCCTAGGTAGGATGTTCAGGGCAGGATGCTTTGGAAGGCAGCTATGTGCTGACGTACACTGTCTACAATCTGCTCTGCTGACCGGCTTCGACCATAGTAGTCCGTGAAAAGACCGTCTGGGTTGAGCAAGTAAATAGCAATGGAGTGGTCCACAATATAGTCCTGGTCCTCATCCTTGGGGCCAGCACTGTAGTATACACGGTAGTTGCGACTAGCTTGGGCCACTTGTTCTTTCGAACCAGTCAGACCCAGCAGTCTTGGGTGGAAGTCCTTCACATACCGGGCCATGGCTGCCACATCATCCCGTTCTGGGTCCACAGTGATGAAGACAGGCTGCACCAGGGGCAGGTCAGGCTCTGCCTCCAGCTTCTGGACCACCTGGACCAGTTTTTCCAGCTCATCAGGGCAGATATCAGGGCAGTGAGTGAAGCCAAAGTACATCAGTACCCACTGGCCTCGAAAGTCGGCTTTACATCGCGGCTGGCCTTTGTGGTCCAGTAGGCTGAAGTCACCCTGGCCCACAGCAGCCTGGCGCAGGGCCTCTGTCCGTTGCTGTTGGTGCCTCTGTTCCTTCTCAGCTCTTGCTGCCAGCCAGGCCCAGCCCAGCCCAGCTCCAAACACAGCAGTGATCAGCAGCCTGGTTCTTAGCCCAGGGCCTTTGGGCTGGCCCTGCCCTGACCAGTGTCGGGACTTTACATACAGAGTTTCGCCTCCTGGGATCCGGAGAAGGACTCGAGGTTTGAACTGAGAGAGCCTGGACCAGGCTTTGGGCCCTAGAGCCTGTAGCACCATGGACCTGAAGCTCCTGAAAAAGAACAGAGATGCCAGCAGTTGGAAAAGAACAGACAAGGTGCCTGGGCCCCCACTGCTGGAGAAACTTGTCACCCCATATCCACGCAGGTTAGCTGCCTGTCGGGGCTCATCTGAACTGCTTGAGCTTAGGCAACGCCAATTGTCCATAGCTGGTTCGCTCCTAGTTCTTTAACTAGGGAGCCTCAGCCTCATTACCGCAATCTGTCCATAATCTGCCCCTCAACCACCAGGCTTCCTTCATTACTGCAATCTGTCCATAAAATGCCCCGCAACCACCAGACTTCCTTCTGGATGCCTAGAAGCATTCAGAACATGCTTTGCCTGGGCACCAGAACACGCGTCTATTTACAATAAATTTTTTTTAAAGGAAGGATGTCCCTGATACTCTGGTTTACTACCTTAAAGGGGTAATCCTTCCTAGCCTCAGGTGATCTGGGGCTCAGGAGAAATCCAGTACCACTAGTGTCACACAGAATAGCCCATTCGTGCTCAGGGCCAGGTCTCTGGCATCACCCGGAGAAGATGGGATTGACAAATATTCACAACATACCCCCTTTCTGGGCGGCACCACTCGGACCTCACACCAGGTCTCTACCTCACCCTCAAAGGACAGGACGAGGCAGTGGCAGCACCCTCAGACAAACCACAGAGGTCATTTGTTTCACCTTGTCCCATCCAGTCCCGCCCTGGTGGGTAGGGGGCTTGCTCAACTGCGGGACCCACCCACCTGCCTGCGGTGGGGTCGGATTTAGGGCTGAACGAGGATTTAGGGCTGAACGACGGTCGGTGGGAGGACTAGCTCAACGAAAGGTGAAGGGGCCTTGAAGGGTGCGCGGTCAGACAGCACGAGCGCCCCCTGCAGAGCGCGGCGCTGCTGGTCGCTGAGCGCCGGGCCGTCCAGGTGTACGCGGAGCCAGGGTGTACCTGCGAGAGCGACGGAGCGGTTACCTAGGCCACACAGGGCGACCGGGAGTGGAGGACTGCTTGCGGGTCCCGAACGGCGCTCACCGCGGTAAAGCCACTGACCCACGTCGACCAGCAGCTCGGCACCCACTCCCGGCCTGATCGGCTGTCCCGCTCGGCTGCGTCCGGCCCCGAGCTCGTGCAGCACACGGGCCAGCGGCAACGCCAAGACGTTCTCCACGGTGCCTAGGGCGTGGGGGAGAGGCGGTCGCGGAGAAGCTAGGGAGCTGCAGGCGGACGCACGAGGACGGGACCAGGAAGGGAAAGACGCAGAGAGGAAGTGGGTGGGGCCTGGCGCCGGGGATGTCCGTTCTCACCGTCTGCAGGGGCGAGCAGCTCCTCTTGCTCTCTCGCGTGGGGCAGCAGCTGGCGGCGTTGCGCGGGGCTCCCGGAGCACAGTGCTCTGGCTAGGCCTGGCTCCACGCCCTGCGCCGAAAGCATCAGCTGGAAGCGACGCAGCGCAGAGCCGTTGTCCAACGCCGCGGCCACTCGGGCAACGCCCTGGTCTTGGGTTTCCGCCAGTCCGCTAAGCCAGAGGATGGCGCCCCCTGCTGGCGGGAGGGACGGAGCTCAGGAACCGCAGGGTTGAGAGCCCTGACACATAGATAGGTGATCTTAACTCCAGCCCTCTCACCTAGCCTAATGACCAGGTCCCGAAGGTCCGGCGGCCCCGCACCGTCCAGGCAAAGCAACGCTTCTTCCACTTCCAGGGTATGGCCCACGCTGCGGCCCAGAGGGCTATCCATGGCGGTGAGGGCTGCGGCGACCCGCAGCCCCAGGCCCACTCCCGCCCTAACCTGGGGAGGCACTACTCAGTGTCCAGTTGGCATTACCTAATTCCATGCCTACTGCACCTGGGTTGGGATGTCAGGAAATACTCGGGGTGCAGATCGGAAACCAACGCTGCCAGGGCCTCACTGCCAGGTGGTGGTGGGGTGGTCTTGTTCACCCTAGTGGAGGGGTTCTGTGGAGGATTGCCCCAGTCCCAAGCTCAGGACAGCCTTGATTAGATACGGTAGGAGGGCTGGAAAGGGGGATTGCCAGTTGGTTCTACAGGCATTGTTGAGTGGGCAGAGGCAGGGATACGACCGAAGGTGAGGTTCACATTTCTTCATAGAAAGGGCACAGAGGCCGGGCAGTGGTAGCACACGCCTTTAATCCCAGCACTCGGGAGGCAGAGGCAGGTGGATTTCTGATTGAGGCTAGCCTGGTCTACAGAGCAAGTCCAGGACAGCCAGGGCTACATAGAGAAACTCTGTTTCGAAAAACAAAACAAAAAAAGAAAGGCCATAGAGGCCCAGCATGGGCTCACCAATGTGTTTGCCAGCTCTCGGGCCTGCTCCTGGTCTGGGAAGACTGCAGCCCCCCCAAACTTAACATCCACCACCAGAGTGGACAGTCCTTCCACGACCTTCTTACTGAGGATTGAGGCTGTGGAGAACAGAAACATCATCCCAGGGTTTGATACCTGGAGACGGAGGGTATTGCCTCTGTGATAAAGATGGCAGTGCCTAGCGGATCGTATGTCAGTCAGGGTACCCCGTATCAGGTCACCTGTAATGAGTGGTACACTGTCCACAGTAGCTGTCACATCTCGTGCAGCGTACAGGATTCCATCAGCAGGGACCAGCTTCTCACTCTGGCCAACAATGCAGCAGCCCACTTCCTCCAGTAAGCGCAATATCTGTTCAGACACCTGCAGTGACCTTGGAGGAAGGGCCCTCTCACTGGCCCTGGCCACAGACCCAGCGAGAGAGTTCAAAACATGGCCTAAGTGCCAATAATCTGATTCTGATGCCTGACCTGATTATCTTATGACACATTAATGATTACCAGCCCATCGGTGTTTTCTACCTACTCCCGAGTAATAATCCAGATCAAAGTTCTCTTACGACTCCGGCCCATCTACAACTGATGACCTTTAGAATAGTCAACACTCTCACTAGTGACCCGTATAAATAACCTATCCGTTGGTTGTCCCGTGATTCTGGCCAGTGATTCCCCCTCAACCCAGATCAGTGATGGATTTTGTGGCCCACCTGTACCTGCTCTGGGCTCTGGGTGACATTGAACCCAGGAATAGACTCCAGCTTATCCAGTGTGCCCCCTGTGTGTCCCAGACCACGTCCGCTGATCATTGGCACCTGATGGATAGGATTCCTGTCTGCCCCGGCACCACTCCCCTTATCCCCATTTTCTTGCTCCCCTAGTGAGAGCTTCAGCTGAAATTAAGCGGTTGTACTATTTTCAAATATTTTAAACAGTTCATGTGGGTGCCCAATTGCTGGAAAGGAAAATAAACCGTACTTGGCAGGGAGCAATTTGTCAGTAGGGCAGGAACTGGCGCTCATATATGTCTGGGACCCAAGTCCATGGGACAAGAGAAAGACCCAGCTCTTTCTCTGAGGGTGCTGTTAGGTACTGAGGCAGCTGTATTCCATTGTCTGTATTGGGGGACAGGACAACCCTGGATTTTGTCTTTGAGAGCTTTGAGCCTGGCTTGAGGGTAGGAGGTGCTTGTGATTGGGTCAGAGATTCGTGGAGATAGCAGTTACTAACCTTACAGCCACACGCAGCCAGGGCAGGTGCCAGAACCAGGCTGACCTTGTCCCCCACACCTCCCGTGGAGTGTTTATCCACAAGCTGCTGGTGCCAGGCCTTGGGCCACTCTAGTTGCTGCCCAGAGTCTGCCAGGGCCTGCGTCAGCACGGATGTCTCTTCTGGGTCCATGCCCTGCAGCCGAATGGCCATCAGCATAGCCCCTGTGTGTGGACATATGAGTGGGGTGTTCACAGCGCATGGGTTTTCTGCGGCCTGGGATGGTGATGAGCTACTGGGGATCCTCGAGGTGCGAATGGGGAAGTTAGGGGTCAAGGTCCAATTAGGGCTTGCCACAAACCAATTTGTGTGTCCTGTGCACTTCCATCCATCACTGCTTGCACGAAATCCCTGATATCTGCCTCACTCAGATGCCCTCCATCTCGTTTGAGGCGGATCAGCTCAGGCAGCTTCTTGGGTTCCCTCTCCCCTCCCCCTGAGACGGCACCAGCTGCCTCTGGGGTTGAGGGAGATGGTGTCCCCGGAGCTGCCATTGCTTCAGCCTGCAGAGGATATTGCGACACTGCTGGAACCCGCCTCCCCGGCCATATCCCTGAAGCCACCATGGTCCCTTGTCCCAACCTTGCTCCTAAATGTGTTCTGGTGCCCCTCATTGACCCATGTTTTCCTCAGCACCCAGTACCTTTCACCCCCAAGTCTGGCTTCCTTTTCTCCATCTCACAACTAGACCCCAGTCCAGTACCTAGTCAGCTTAGGGGCCTTTACCAGTTTTCTGGCTCTGTCTCGGTTCCGACCTGGTATGCCTCAGCCCGTCGTGGAGTTAGGTGCAGAACAAAGCCACAGAAAGGTAGTCCAGGGACAGCGGGCAGATGGGGCGGTCCCAGGAGGTGGCACTTGTTAGGCCAATCACCACTTCAGTTGCTCCCTAACTGCTACTTTATGGCCAATTGGGGATGTTTCCGGGACCCTAAGGGCCAGGAGGATGTGGTACTCTCTGGACTGGCTTCCGCTCTGCCCAGTTCTCTGGGGTCTTGATATCTATGGGTCCGGGCACTGCTGTCTGTCCGACTAGTCTCTGGGTTCAGACACTTCCAAAGTTCAGACGCCACTAGGACCATCGACGCTCGCGCTCACCTGCCCCACCCCTCACCCGCCGAACCACGCAGAGAGAGAAGCACACACACTGCGCCGGCTTGAAAAGCTTTAAGAAAACAACCGAGGGCCGATGCGCGCCTGCTAGAGTCAGTCTTCCACGTGGTACGGTATCATGGGGGCCAGGTAGTCTGAGTGCCTGATCCCGAAGCTCCAGCCACGAGGCTTCCGGTGCTGCGGGCCAGGAGATGCTGCTGATCTTACCAAGCCAACTGTTCGGCTTCATACAGGAACGCCTGTACCCCAGGGACCCCGTCCACAGACCCTCATCCCCTGCCCCTTGACCCTGGACTCCAGACCACCTCTTCCACGCTGTAGGTTGCGGGTCCTGGTTTCGGAGTGCTTTCCTGGGGTGGCGAAGTCCGTGGCAGCATCGTGAACTGCGGGGCTCGAGTCTTGTAGACCCCTGGGTTCACAACATGGTAGGCACAGGGGCCTGGGGTCTAGGACAGGAGCAGGGTGTTGAGTCTAGCCTCAATTCCTTGTGGACTACTGATCCCTTTTCCCCCCTCCCTCAGGATAGACTTTCACTATGTACCCCAGGCTGACTTTGAACTCACAATCCTCCTGCCTCAGTTTCCTAAGTGATAGAACGCCAGGTGTTTTTCACCGCCCCCATTTCTACTGACTCTCTTGATTACTAGAGACGGTCAGCTAGCTGGCAGTTCTTTCCCCCACCTTGCTGAGGTCCTCGAAGCAGCTGCCCACAGCGCTGCGGCCATAGATGGAGTAGGTTGGGGCTGAGACTTTGCCTATGACACGAGGACCCAAGAGCGAAGGCACAGTGTAGGACGCAGGGCCTAGGGAGGAGCCAACAAGAGGTTATGTTGGACCAATCTCCTTGTATTTATGGCAGACTGCAGGTTGGGGTGCTGGAAGGTCCCTAGTGCTGGATACAGCCCTCTGGCCTCACCTGGGGTTTGCTGCTTCGAGAGGATGCCCCAGTTTCGGGAAGCCATGGTATGCCGGGGAGCACTGGGGTACGTTGCGTTTCCCGCGCGTTCTGGGAAGTATCTGCCTATGGGATGGACCAAGAGTGTGGGCCAGAACTGGGGCGGGGTGGGGGTGGGGTATGGGGAGCTTAGCCTGGGGTCTTGGCACTTGAGAGAAATTGGAGCCACATTGAGGTTCGGGTTTCTGGGTATGGGTAGAAGGTTCCCGGGATTCTGGGTTTGGGTGAGGAGTTTCCCAGTGGGCTTCCTTTGAGGCAGTTCCACTTTGGGGAGACCCGTGCCCCAGGGTGCTGACCCGGTCCCGGAGTGAGGACAGGCGCAGTGTGGCGTAGGCGACCATAGATGGAGAAGGCTGGGGTGCCATCGGTTCCGCGCACGGTCATGCGGGCGGGCACCAGGTGGCTCGGTCCCGGCCCGCAGGTTGTGTGTTGCAAGGGCAGGCGCGAGCCGAAGGTGAAGGCGGGCGCGCGCGGCCGAGATGGGTCGTGCAGGATGTAACCTGCGGGAGCATCCCCGCGTCACCTTCCACAGCGCCCTGCGGCTGCCAGCTTTACTCCTTTCCCTTCCCAACTTCACCAAGGCAGTCCCAGCACAGAACTCATTATCTTTTTGCCTCCCTTTCTGCTCCGGGCAGAGTCCTCCGGTTCTTGGATTCCTGGCACCAGTGTAGACCGCCCACAGTCCCACCTTCCCCCTACTTCCTCCCGGGTATCCGCCCTTGCTACCGGTGTTCGGTGGCAGCTTGTATTTGGGCCCTGGGCCTCTGTGGAGTGCCGCGATGGGGCCGCGGGGCCGATGTGGCCGCCAAGTGCCGACCCAGACCTCTGAGCCCATGGCGCAGGCGGGGCTGCTCAGGGCTTGCAGCACCTGTGGACAGAATTCGGAGGAGACGCGCTTCCCTAGCTCCACTCGGGAGCCAGCACGACCGACGGCAAGGCCGAACACGTATCCCATGACACCCGGAAAACAAACAGTAGTTTCCCAGGCTGGGAGGCGGGTGCACTGGGGCAGGAACGAGCTTCAAAGCCATCTCTGGCCTCCTATCCCAGAGCCTTCTGTACCAGTGTTTAACTACAGGCCAAGTTTGGACCCAGACACTGGAAAGAGAATGGTCTGGAGTTTCTGGGTGGGAGAGGTGCTTTAGAGGTGTTGGGAAAGGATGTCCTGAGGAAGGGTCTTGTAGGGGCACAGGTTGCTCCTAGGGAAGGTCTGGAGATGCACTAACCTGCTACGATGGTTACCCTCTTGAGAAAGCAAAGCCGGGCAATTTGACAAACTCCCATCAAACTCTCAGACCCATTATGTCCCATCTTGCTTCCTGGCAACCAGATCAAGTGTCTGGCCCCACCCTCCGGGGACTTCAGCCCTATCATCTCCTGCCACTGCCGAGACTGTGTGCTGGATGGACATTAGGCCGGTCCGCGGGCCAGCACAGCCATTCCAGAATTAGATAAATCTGCGGACAAAAACAAGTTTAGAAAAAAAAAAGCCCCCCCCCCCCCCAAGTTTAAGAAAAAAGGAATAATACAGAAAGTTCAATTTATTTACATATCTATGTAAGCCCACGAAATAGTTGCAAAACCTAATGCTTTGGGCCAGAAAATAATACTAGTTGAATAGAGAGGCAGCAATGTATGATTAAATTACACTCCAATACAAATTCTCAGTGAACAATTTTTTTAAGTTAGAAAAAAATTTAAAAACTTTGGGATTAAAAGGAAACTCAAACCTCGAGTTATAAATGATATAAAATACTTGAGATGAAAACTGTATAGGCTACAGCTGAAGTTGTATTCAGAGAAAAACGTTATAGCCCTAAGATAACCTCAATGTTAATAAAAATTTTAATGTTTAATGACATTTAAAATTCATTTGATAAGTAGGGTGAAAAAAAATCCCCAAAACCAAACCAAACAATAGCAAAAAAAAAAAAAAAAAAGAAAAGAAAAGAAAAGAAAAGTGGTGGAGGGAGTTAGCCTGTAGTTCTAACCCTCAGAGCTGGAGCAGGAAGGTCTCAAGTTCAAGGCCAGCCTGGGATACATAGAGAGATCACGTCTCAATTAAAATAAAATGCAACAAAAAGATACTAACAAAATTATAGGTGAAATTATAAATATCTATTTGTAAAAAATGACAATTGAGGGAACTTGGTAAAGGCAAAAATAATAGCCAACAAAACTAGACACCAGGCCAGGTGTGATGGAGCATACCTGAAATCCCAGCAATTGGGATGTTGGCTCTCTAAGTTCAAGGCCAGCCTGGTCTATCCGATAAATCCCTAAGGTCTTTGTCTTTTCCTATTTGTGTCCATTTTTATTCCTTTTGTTTTATTGCTGCAGCTAAGACTTCAAGGAATATGTTGAATAAAAGTGGAGAAAGTAATCATTTTGTCTTGTTCCTGGTTTTCGTGGAATGCTTTTATGTTTTTTCTCTTTGGTATGATGTTTGTATTATCTGTATGTTTGTCAGATATAGTCTTTTTGTGTTAAAATATGTCTGTTTTGTTCCTAGTTTCCTAGGGTATTTTATCAAAGAAGGATATTGGATTTTGCCAAAAGCCTTTTCTGCATCTATTGAGACGGTCATGTGATTTCTGCCTTTGCGGCCAGTTATGTTTGTATTACATTAATTGATTTACATATGTTGCTGAGCCATTGCTCCAGCTTATTTTTTTTTACATTTTGTTGTTGTTGTTTTTGTTTGTTTTTGAGACAGGGTTTCTCTGTGTAACAGTCCTGAATGTTCTGGAACTCACTCTGTAGACCAGGTTGGCCTTGAACTGGCTGAGATCTGCCTCCCTCTACCTCCCAAGTGCTGGGATTAAAAGTGTGAGTCACCACCGCCCGGCTACATTTTACATTTCTATTTTATTAGTTTTCGTTATGGTAGATCTTGATTCTCTCTCTCTCTCTCTCTCTCTCCCCTCCCTTCCTCCTTTTTTTTTTTATTAAAATGTGTAGCCCAGGCTGGCCTCGAACTCATGATCCTCCTGCCTCTGCCTCCTTCAGCAAATCCTGCTGGCACTTGCCAGCACAACCAGCGCTCTCTCCTTCCTTCCTTGCTTCCTTTCTTCCTTCCTTTCTTCCTTCCAGGGTCTTACTACATAGCTCTGGTTCTCCCGGAGCTCACTGCCTAGACCAGACTGGCCAAAAATGCTCAAGAAATCTCCTTACCTCTCCTTCCTGAGCCCCCTACATGACCCTCATTCATTATGGTTCGCGTTGATTTCTACATTCACTTTCCCTCTGGTACCTTCCTCGCTCTTTAACTGCCCTGGATCTTCGGAAGCTGTGCGGAGCTGCTAAGGTACTGGCTAGCCCATAAAGAGGGACTGGGAAAGTGGCAGCTCTATCTATCGAAGGTCCAGGATCTCAAACTTAACCACAAACCAAACTTAACTACAGAGCCTGAGTCTGGGACAAGGAATAATGGCAAGAAAGGCCTCTGGCAGTTGAAGTCCACCTTAAGGTGTAGGGCTCACCCAACCTCTCACTGTTACCTAATAGTTCTATGGGAAGCTGGGATGGGACCAGGCCAGATGAGATATTTGAGGCTCAGCAGAGCCCAGGCTAGGTGCCAGGGACACTCTTGCTACCTCCTCGATGCCCGAGGCAAGGAGTGGTTGGGTCCATTGTGTTCCAGAGGAAGAAAAGGACCACTTCCTGTTGGAGGAGCTACCTTTAATTGTGGGGACTCCAGTCTCTTTTCCTATGTGCCTGGGTCATTCCTGGTAAATGTTAAGACTCACTCCTTATATAGATTCCAGCGATGAGCAGACTGAGAAGTGTCCTCCCAAAAATACCAAGTGCTTATGCCTAGTAGAGTATCCACATGGCAGCCCCTGAGAACCAAACTGGGCCAAGAGGTGGGATGGAGTGTGATTTGGTTCAGATAGGAACGGCTTAGGAGTGAGAGGAGTCCTAGGGACTGGACTGGTAGGGCACCGGGCCAGAGAGGGTTTCTGAAGGCTCTGGGTACAGTTTAATGCCGTGACTGCAGGAGAGGTAGGCTATGCCCTGAGCTTCAATGAGGGACCCTGGGGCAGTACCCGAACAGTGTAGTAAAAGGAGCCAGGAGGATTTAAGTTAGGGTGGAATAATACTGGCCACAGAGAGGGAGATAGAATGTTTAGGTTTTCTTCCTTCTTTCTCACTTTTATTTTTCCCTCCTGACTGGAAAGTGACTTTATCTCTTTATTGGAGCAATGTTTGGTAGCTGATGGAGGAGGGAGGATGAGACCTTCACTTGTCTCATACCCAAAAGGTAACTCTCATGACCCTCGTTCCAGGCTCTCTGTTTTCAGCCTGAAAACCCACCAAAACAACCCCCCACCCTTCCCTGGTGGCCATGGTGGAATTGGCCTCTCCAGTTTCTGGTAATTTCATCGGGGCAGCATCATGTTGCTAAGCCCCGAGATAGCATCTCCCTGTGTGGTAACCCTTCCCTGTCAGAGCTCTTACATAGCTTATAGGGTGTAGGGTGAATTGAGGGGGAAGTATGAGGGTCTTTAAGGCAGAAGATAGCTGGGTGAAATGTTGGCAGTGTGTCTAGGAATACTTTCATTTGTCCCTAGGACCCTGAGCAAAGAAGGAGGGGGAAGGGGCGGAATTGGGGTACACAGCCACGGGCAGGCTGCTGTAGATCACGGACTTTGCTGATAGGGCCAGTTCCGTTTACTGACAAGCCTGCAAGCCTGATTGTCGAGGGCCCGGAGAGTCAGTCCACCTTAACAGGGCTGTCTCTAGGTGAGCTGCCTGCAGTGTCATCTGCCCAGCCTGCAGCCCAGGCTGGGTGTGGGGCATGCTTAGCTGTCAGCCAGAACAGGCTCTGGCAGCACATCTGCGGTCTGCACCATGCTCCAGGGTGCTGGCGAGGTTAGTGGGCCCCTCTGGGGCTGGGATGGTGATGGAGAGGACGACTGGGATGGGGCTGTGCTCACCTTGCTGGCGCTAGCTGTGGTAGCCACCATAGCACTGACTTTGCAGTGGTTTGGCTCCAGGCAGGACCAGGAGGCAGACAGATCAGCACCCACACCTGCGGGTGTGCAACGGGTTGAGGCTGAAGGAAACAAGCCGGCCCTGCACCCGAAGTCCAAGGACAGTGATGCCAGTGAGGGGCAGAGCAAAGGGCAAGAGAAATCAGAGGCTCCTGGAGATGGCCAGAGAAGACCAGCTACAGCGAGGGCCCAGGACCCAGAGCCATCACGAGGCAGAAGTGCGGAATCAGACGCTTGGCTTTCACTCAAGACACCTGGAGAGGTGGCCAGCAGAGGGATCATCCCAGCAACCATGGGAAAGAAAAGAAGGGAGCTACTCAGGCCAGAAACTTCCTTCCAGGGCCACAGCAAAGCAAGGGATATTCCTGTCCCCATCACGATCCGCTTTACTCCTCGAAGTCCTGATTGCCAAACAGAGATGCAGGTGGTGGCAGCTGGCATCTGTGGTAAGGGGGCAGCTCAGCAGGGCCCCGTTCATACAGAGCAACAGGATACCAGCCCGTGGCACCTGGCTGTGGGGACTCCTGGGCCCCTGGGGAGAAGCCTAGGCAGCTTGCGTAGGCGTCGGCGGCCCGGTGCCAGATCAGGAGACCGACCCTGCCGTCCTCTAAAGCTGGACCCCCTCCGCCTGGGCACTGTGGTGAGTGTGTGGGATGCTGTGGATTTGGCAACTGCGGCCACCCAGGACATTTTCACCAGCAGTTCCCTTGCAGGTCCCTCACCGCACCACTCACGCAGGGGGCTTAAGGGTCCTGAGGAGATGGGCCTAGCTGATGCCGTGGAGAGTCGACCTCGGGTGGACTCCGGGGACGTGTGTGGGAGGAGCGGCCTTCAGCTTGCTCCCGCCAGCATTGCAGGCTCAGGGGCTAAGGACAGGGAGAACAGGGAGCCTGGGTCCCCTGTCCCTCGGGAGACTCAGGGGATCTTGACTGATGAGGAAGCCTGGTCCCGGGAGAGTGGGGCAGCTGTTGTCACCAGCAACTTCACATCCTCCCAGGGCCCCTTGCCAGAAGAGCTGCACCCTGAGGCCTGTGAAGAGGACCAAGTTGCTGACCAGAGCAAGATGGAGAAATCAGGAGAGGGCCACCTCATTAGCCAAGGGAGAGGCTCCCGTCAGGGCAAGGAAAGTGAGCAGATAGCTGGAGGTTCAGATGCTGGCCAGAGGGCTGTGCTTATCCCGGACAAGACCAAGTCCACTGGTGGCTTCAGCTGCACCCCCTCTCACAATCTTCCAGCATCTCCTCTGACCCGGAACACAGAGCTGGTTCCATCCTCTGCCACGGCAGTACATCGCAGCCCTGGGTTTCCACACGCAGTCTCTACCCTTGCTCCTTTAAACAGTTTGTCTCTGGAGGTTAACCAGGGTGGTGAAAATCTCAAAGCAGGACCAGCCTCCCTTCCAACACAGACTTTAGCCTCAGCAGGAGCCCCAACTTCAGCCCCAGAAGCAATCCTAGCACCATCCTCAATATCACCCCCAATCTTAACCCCAGCCCCAGTTAAAGCCTTAAGCTCAATTTCAACACCAGCCTCATCTCTAACATCATCCTCAACCCCATCCCCAACTCCAGTTACAACCCTAATTTCAACACCAGCCCCATCCCCAACATCACCCCCAACCCCAGCCTCTGCCCTAGTTGTAGCTCAGGTTCCTGCAGTCGACAGTGAACCAAGACCTATGTCTAGGGAGTCAAGTGTGGGCCTCTCCAAGCGCTCACTGGATGGACGAATCTCAGCTAGCTGGGGAAACCTTATTACCATGGTTCTTAGAAGTCACCCCTTCCCTAGGCAAGAAAAGGCTGATGGTAGTGCCCCGAGAGCAGATCTTCAGAGTCCTGCTCAGCCCAGCACATCTGCATACCTGGGCGGTAGACAGCCAGATACCACCTCTGCAGGGGCAATCTCCAGCCTCCAGGACAAACACAGAGCACCGTCAATCTTAGTCACACCAGTAGGTTCAGGGGGCCAAGCTGAGGGCAGATGTGAAACACAGCCGATGAGCGTGGATACTAGTGTGTCTTCCACTTGGGACCCCAGAGGAGATGAAACCAAGGAGGAAAGTCAAGAATCTCGGGCCCCAACTGCAAAGCCTGAGGCTGTCCCAGAGTTCCCCGCGCCGGCACAGCCTGGTCCTGTCCCATCTACTATGAAGCAGGAAGCTCAGCCCATCCCTCAGCCTCGGCAACGGAGAAAACGTAGCTTAGCTCAGAGCTCTGAACAGATACTTACTCAGGAAGTATCCCAGAAGCCCCCGGGGCAGGTGCTAAAGGAGGGAACCAGACCTGCAGGCAGCAGGGACGTCCTCACAGAGAAACAGAAAGAGACACAAAAGCTTATGATTTTTCTGCAGAAGCCTGGCAGCTGGGGAGTGGTGGAGGGGTCTCAGAAGTCCCGCTCACAGGCCTCGCAGTCTACCACAGCAACGGCGCTATGGCCTCCAAAGCTAGATCTAGGCAGCTGCTTGGAGGTTTTGGCCTTTGCCCAGCAGCGTGGAGAGCTGGGCTTAGCCCAGGACACCTATGTCTTGATGAGCAACAACTTGCTGCATGTCCTGGGAGACCCACACCTCTACCGACAGCTGAGTGGCGCTGATAGGGAGCGCATCCTGAACCTGCGGACCTGCCAGGGCCAGACAGTGTTGGGGGTCCTCGAGCTGCCCAGCCTTTATCAGGTGAGCCGCTCAGGGCTCATGAGGGGCCCTCATGGTGAGGACGCACCGGCAACTAGGCCTGAACATTTGCATCTTCATACATACCTTCATGTGTTCAACCCACAAGAGAATGTGTGGCGGCCCCTGATTCAAGTACCAGAGGAGGTCCCGCTCCGGGGATGTGGTCTGTGCACTATGCATAACTATCTGTTTCTGGCAGGTGGCATCAGAGGTTCTGGTGCCAAGGCTGTCTGCTCTAACAAGGTGTACTGCTACAACCCTCTGACCAACATTTGGAGCCAGGTTCGGCCCATGCAGCAAGCCCGGGCCCAGCTCAAATTGGTGGCTCTGGATGGGATGCTTTACGCCATTGGTGGTGAGTGCCTATACAGCATGGAGCGCTATGACCCACGCACAGATACCTGGACCTTGAGAGCATCCCTTCCCGAGGGCACCTTCCCTGTGGCCCATGAGGCTGTGGTCTGCCGAGGAGAAATCTATGTCACGGGGGGTCACCTCTTTTACCGCCTGCTCAGATACAGCCCAGTGAAAGACTCATGGGATGAGTGCCCCTATAGTGCCAGCCACCGGCGCTCCAGTGATATGGTGGCACTAGGCGGCTTCCTTTACCGCTTTGACTTGTTGCGGGGCGTAGGCGCTGCGGTGATGCGCTACAACACAGTGACAGGCTCCTGGAGCCGTGCTGCCTCCCTGCCCCTGCCCGACCCTGCCCCGCTCCACTGCACAGTCCTGGGCAACACCATTTACTGTCTCAACCACCAGGTCACCGCTACCTTCACAGTTTCGGAGGGGACTGCCCAGTTCCAGGCCAAGGAGCTGCAGCCCTTTCCCCTGGGAAGTAAGGGGGTCCTCTATCCATTCACTCTGACTTTGCCCCCCAAGACCTGGTTACAGACCACAATCTAAGTTCTGGGTGAAAAAAACAGAACCGTGTGTCTGCTCTCAAGAGAAACCTTCTCTGAGTGGACCTGGGGTGTGGGGAAGAAACCTGGGAGCAGAACTTTCTGTTTTGTGCCCAAGCTCTTTGTCAAGTTATGGGTGTTGATTATCTGAAATGAATCCCTTCTACCCCCCAACCCTGGCTCTCTTGGTCCCCCTATACCCTGCTGGTTTGGATTCCAGGTCCTACCTGCTTAGGATGGCTTGGCTTCATCACAACCCTGTCTGTGGGACTCTTTGGTACTTGTTGGAAACCCCTTTGAACTTCCTGTGTTCTCCAAGATGGAAAATGAAGCGAAGTTTCTCAGGAAACATCCTCATTCTGGGATATTTGCTATCTTGAGGTCCTTTAGGAGTGAGTCTGGGTCTGACTGGGCGGTGGGGCACACACACCTTTGCTCCCAGCACTCGGGAGGCAGAGGCAGGTGGATCTCTGAGTTCTAGGCCACCTGGTCTACAGAGCAAGTTCTAGGACAGCCAAAACTATACAGAGAAACCTATCTCAAAACAAAACAAAGCAAACAAACAAACAAAAAACCCAACCCAACTGAAACCAAAAACAAACAAAAGAGTCTGGGTCTAAATGGCCCTTCAATATCTTATTCCTTGATTGGATAATCACTCTGCTGCCCGCAGTCCCAGCCCAGGTTGGGTCAGGACGGTTTGGCACCTGGCGAGCCTCTCTCAAACTCTCTGGGCCCTCACACCACTTCTTTCAAGCTCTTTCTAGATGAGCCCTGTGCTTTACTCCAGTTAAACCTGCTGTTAGCTGTGTAAAGCAGGAGAGGCATTTACTACTCCTCTGAACACCTGCCATTCAGGAGGTCCATGGGACAGGATCTCTGGCAGCCATCTGGCCTGGTGTCCGAGGCTAACTACTGACGCCTACTTTAGGCAGGTAGATAAATCTGAGTGCTCTTTCTTTTCTTTTTTTTGGTTTTTCAAGACAGGGTTTCTCTGTAGCTTTGGAGCCTATCCTGGAACTAGCTCTTGTAGTCCAGGCTGGCCTTGAACTCACAGAGATCTGTCTGCCTCTGCCTCCTGAGTGCTGGGATTAAAGGTGGTTCATCACCACCCGGCTCAAATCTGAGTACTCTTGCTTGTCCTGGCCTGCAACCTGACTTGTCCCAACTAGGCCATTTTCTACATTAAAAAAAAAAAGAAGAAGAAATTTAGGGGCTGGAGAGATGACTCTGTGTTCAGAGCACTGGTTACTCTTCCAGAAGGCCCAGGTTTGAGTCCTAGAATCCACATAGTAGCTAACAACTGTCTGTAGCCTCATTCCTGGGGATCTGACACCCTCTTCTGGTATTTGTGGGCACTGAATACACATGGTTCACAAACATACATGCAGTTAAAACATCCATACACATAAAATAAAAAAATATTTTAAAAAGAAATGATTTTTTTATTATTATTGTGAGGGAAATGCATGTGCCATGTGTACTGTGAGGAGGTCAGAGAACAACTCTGGGTTGCTCTTCTCCTTATCCCTTTGCCTGGTCCTGGGGACTGAACTCAGCCTTGAGTGGAAGCGCCTGTGTCTGCAGACTCCCGTTTCTCCTTTAGTTCTGCACTTAGGACAGCTGACACCAACAGTGTTGCCCACCGAAACCATCTCCCTCACACACTGTTCTTTGCTCACAGAGTCTGATATGAAGTTATGTCAATCATAGTGCAAGACAGAAAGGAGCTCTTGGGTTTGCTTGAAAATAAGTTTATTGAGAAACGAGTGCCGTGCACACAGCTACACACCTGGGCCTCTGAACCCATGCCCTGGCTTCTGCACTCAGGCTGGTGACAAATGGTGGCTTACTGCTTGCGTTTAGTCTCGGTGAGTAGCTCTTGCCAGTTCTTCTCCATCTCCTCTTTGCAGTTGAGGAAGGCATCCTCCAGCCGGCGCATGGACTCTGCTAGTGTGGGGTTGGTACGCATGACCACCATATCGTAGGCCATCCAGGTTGCCTGCACTACAACAAACAGGTCCAGTCAGGTGACAGGTGCTGAAGCTCTGGGTGGGGGGCACTGTGTTTAGTGTTAGGGGTCAGACCCTCGGAGAAAGCTGAGAGGGTGCTATAAACCCTTTCTAAAACTTCTTTTTTTTTTTTAAATATTTATTTATTATGTATACAATATTCTGTCTGTGTGTATGACTGCAGGCCAGAAGAGGGCACCAGACCCCATTACAGATGGTTGTGAGCCACCATGTGGTTGCTGGGAATTGAACTCAGGACCTTTGGAAGAGCAGGCAATGCTCTTAACCACTGAGCCATCTCTCCAGCCCTCTAAAACTTCTTTCTACAGTAGCAACAATGATAAAGGTCTCAGTACTTAAGCCTATGACAGTAACAAGCTGGAGATTAGTCTGATATGGAACGGCAGAAGTGTAAGAGCAAAGCATGGGCTCTGACCTGTCTGTAGTCCACAGCCAATGGTCATAATTTTTACCCAAGCTTACATGCTCAAGGTAATCCAACCATTTCTAGACCCATGAGACCCAAATGCGTTTTCTCATGCCCAATGACCTGAGACACCTGTCTACCTGTCCCTGACATCCTCGAGAGGTCAGGCTGCCTCACTGTTAGGCACCCTTGAGCATTCACCATCACACAGATGAGCATCTCTGCTCTTCCTCAGAACAACTGGAGCGCAGCTGGACGGCCTAAGTGAGCTTCTTGCGCAGAAGCAGTGGAAGTGTGTGCAGAGCCCATTCTGCAGCATCCACTTCTGGTGCGGCACTTCCCTCTGGACTGTACAGAACATGGTCTGCCCCACTGCATGACAACTGAACACAGCTGACATGTCCTTTATTCCTCTACTAGGGTGAAAAGTATTGGATACTTTGGGAAATTATATCTTCAAGGAAACTCACCAATGAGATTACAGGAAAATGATTAGTGCTAGATATGAGCATGTGTACATATATGAAAGCAACATCACTTTGTCACAGACTCGAAGCAGTGGAGAGAAGCATGTACTTAGTTATGGGGAAATTATTTACAGGTCTCAACAGAGTTTATATGATTCTATTACGAGCATGGGGAGCCTTTAATTTTTGAATTAGGAGCGGCACTTGGGACACTTCTTACAATGTAGACCACTGGATCATTCCACAACAGTTTTTGTCTAGCAGGTTGGGGATCATTCTAGCACAAAGGGTCTGCAGACCACCCTTTTCAAATCCCTGGAAGCAGATGACATGTGGATCTGGAACTCAGAGCAGAGTCTGCTTCCCATCCCTCTACCTGCTAGCTATGTGACCTTAAACAAGGGAGCAAATTTGCTGACTCGGTCATAAGACAGAGACCACTTAGTAGCTTCCAGTGAGAACCAAACAGACACTATATGAACCACTTAGCATATACGATGGACTGAATGTACGCATGCCTCTACATTTATTACTGAAATATGGTCCCAAGTTAATGGCATAGGTGATGGGCCTCTGGGAGATGTGCAGTAGTCAGGGTAGAGCCCTCATGGCTCATGGGAGAGACACAGCACTTGCAGCTGGCCGTGTGAGAACACAATGAGAAGAAGATGACTGTACAAACATGGAGGAGACTTCTCACCAGATAACTTGCTGGCAACTTGATCTTGGATTTCCCAACTCTAGGACCAACCATGAGAAATAAATGTTTATTTTTAAAGCTATCTTGTTTGTGGCCATTTGTTATGGTACCCCCAGATGATTAGTTAGAAATTGGTACCAACTAGAAGAGTGTTGCTATAGCAACACCTGGAAGTATGGGAGCAGCTTTGGTGGTGGGTAGAGGTGGCCTGAGTTTTGAAGCACATAATAGAAGTACATAATACAGTACTGAAGCCGGGCGGTGGTGGCGCACGCCTTTAATCCCAGCACTCGGGAGGCAGAGGCAGGCGGATCTCTGTGAGTTCGAGGCCAGCCTGGGCTACAAGAGCTAGTTACAGGACAGGCTCCAAAGCCACAGAGAAACCCTGTCTCGAAAAACCAAAAAAAAAAAAAAAAGTAATTCTGGTTCAGGAAGAAAAGAGGAATTTGGAGAGACAAATCCTCCTGGACAGGATGTTTGGAGACCTACAGATGGTAAAGCCATTATTATGATAGCCCAGATAAAAATGAGGACTGTTATTGGGAGCTGGAAGAAAGGTGACCCTTGTCCTAACTGTCAAACTGTTGGCTGGGTTGTGTTCATGCTCAATATTTTGTGGAATGTAGAATTATGAGCAACGAAATTGGATATCGAGAGGAGGAGAACTGCTTAAAATTAGAAACTTTTTTTTCGAGACAGGGTTTCTCTGTGTAACAGCCCAGGCTATTCTGAAACTCACTCTGTACACCAAACTCACAGAGATCCACCTGCCTCTGCCTCCTGAGTACTGGGATTAAAGGTGTGCACCACCACTACCTGGCCAAAATTAGAAATTTTTACTATAAAATAAATAATGCAAGTACTCAGGGCAAAGACTTAAGATAGGAAAGAAAATAACATCAGGGGATAAAAGTAACGCCCCCAAAAATAAATGTCACATAGTATCCCACAGCACCTAGAATTCAAACTCCTCTGAGCTTCCTAGGCCAAAGCAGAGAAAGAAAAAAAAAAACTTCTTTTGTAAGGTCAGTGTCCATGAAAGAGACAAACAGGCTCTTGAACACACCTGTGTCCTGGAGCTGAGCCCTCTGTTTCAGTTACTTCCATTGCTGTGAGGAGACACCATGACCAAGGCAACTCTTAAAGGAAGTATTTAATTGGGAGCTTGTTGACAGTGTGAGAAGGTGAGACGTGACCATCATGGTGTGTGACAGCAGGCAGGCATGGTGCTGGAGAAGCAGCTGAGAGCTCACATCTGATCCACAAGTTGCAGGCAGAGAGAGAGAGAGTGTGTGTGTGTGTGAGTCTGGGCCTGGCATGCTGACTGGGCCAACAGGCCAACCTCCAGCTCCTTCCCAAACACTTCCATTAACTGAGGACCTAATATTCAAGCTTACAAGCCTATGCGGCCATTCTCATTCAAATCACCACACCCTCTGTAGCTTGTGCGAAGCTTCAGTTTGATTCCCAACATAGGAAGAATAAAAACTTCCAGAATAAAAAAAATCAACAAAAACAAACCAAATGAAACAAGAACTCTAGCCTAAGAGAGACATTTCCAAGGAGCATTGATGTCCCATACTAATGTAAAGGATTGAAGGAGCTTGGGATATAGCATTTACTTCACATATGAACACGGGTTCAACCCCTGGCTCTGGAAAACAAAGGTCCAATGAATACCATAACGTTCAGTTTTAACACAAATCCAAATGGAATATTAAGTAAACGAATCTGTTACTGGAAAGCCCAGAACCATAAAATACAAAAAAGGTCTGAGGAAGGGGAACTTCCTGAATGGTGATGGTGGTGATGATAACCACATCGACAACAGCTATGTGACACTGTACTCTCTTAAACCCGGCATAAACAATGCAGCTAAGCTATCATATAATCTGTAAGAACTTCATGGTGGCCTGGTGTGGTGACACATGCCTTTAACATCAGCACGAAGATCTCCGTGAGTTGGAGGCCAGTCTAATGTACACAGTGAGTTCCAGGCCAGCCTAAGTTACATAGTGAGGCCCTCCCCTCTTCAAAGGTGGTTGAGGCTGGGGAGATGGTTCGGGGAAAGTACTTCCTGTGTAAATAATACAAGGAACCAAATTCAATCCTCAGTCATCATGCATTGGGCATGGAGGTCCATGCGGTAATCCTAGCTCTAGGGCTGTGGAGGCAGGGGGATTCCTAGGGCTTGATGGTCAGCTAGTCAAGCTGAATCAACACGCTTCAGGTTCAAAGAGAGTCTGTATCAGAAAAATAAGGTGGAGGGTGATCCAAGAGGACACAGCCTGACCTTTGACCTCTACATGTATGCACACACATATCAACACAAACATTTACATGCACACACGTGCACATGCACACACACACACTCACAGAACTTCATGAGTTAAAATGGGTGTGGTGGTTTCACTGAGAATGGCCCCATAAGCTCATCTATTTGAATACTTAGTCCTCGTTGGCCGACTGGTTTGGGAAGGATTAGGAGGTGTGGCCTTGCTGTAGGATATGGCGCTAGGGGTTGGTATTGAGGTTTCAAAAGCCCATGCCATTCCCAGTTAGCTCTTTCTGCCTTGTGGTTGTGTTTCAAGTTGCATGTTCTTAGCTGGCATGCCCACCGGCTGCCATGGTCCCCACCTGAGGACTGGTATTACAGGTGTGTGACACTACTCTGTTTGAAGGAGTTATATTTGTAGTGAAAAATGAATTACAGACCTTTTAGAAAAGGATAACTAAAATGCATTTAAAATGTTCATATACATATATGTATATGTATGCAAATACACCAGCCCAAAAAACCCTGCAAACATTTCTAAACAGAAAATTTTACAACCTGCTATGAATAATTTACTTAAAACTGTGTGTGTGTGTTGGTGTGCACACATTCATGTGCCATAGTGCACGTGTGGAGGTCAGAAGTTGACGGCTTTGAGGAGTCGATTCTCTCCAACTGTGAGGGTGAACTCAGCTGGTCAGGCTCAGCTACAGTGTCTGTACACACTCAGTCATCTTGCTTGCTCCAAAATTGTTTGCATTTGAGAAAAGTATATATGCCCTGTAAAACCTTCTTCCCCAATAATTTTCTGTAGCAAAATTTGGGCTCACAGATAATAAGAATTTTTTGTGTTTTATTTTTTTTTGTTTTTCAAGATAGGGCTTCTCTGTGTAGCCCTGGCTGTCCTGGAACTCACTCTGTAGACTAGGCTGACTCAGACTCACAGAGATCTGCCTGTTTCTGCCTCCCAAGTGCTGGGATTAAAGACATATGTATAATTTTTAAAGTTTTTTATTTTGTTTTGGGACAGGATTTCTCTGTGTAGCTCAGGCTGTCCTGGAACTCACTAAATAGAGCAGGCTGGCCTCGAACTCAGAAATTTGCCTCTAGAATCATTCTGAATTAAGAACATATGAAATTATGTTGTTGCTACTGCTTCATGAAAACATGCTGAGTAAAATAACAATATAATATCCCTTCCCAAGAATAAATAAATATATACATCCTGTTGCTGCTTTATTCCACAGTGCTGTGCTTCCCTTTTCAGTAATTCATTAATCTTATCCTGATCATTCCAAACCTTTCAACTTAAGTAATTCATAGATAGACTGTTCAGCTTCTGTTCTCTAGTGTAATAATGACCTACGCTTGCCATTTGGTGTGCATGTGAGTTAGTACCTGGTGCTATGCCAGTTACATGTCTCTATTTCTACTCTCAAGAAGACAACAGTCCATAGGTACAAGTTAGATATAATCACATGAAAGATAATCAAAATAATTCAGAGTCAATCATTGTAACTATAAAGTTGGAAGGATGTTAGGGAAGCCCTTGTGGGAGAAAGCACTTGATATAGGTCCATAAGTTAGGGGGACAAGGAAGCCTTGGAAAGAAGAGGAAGACATACTGTTTGGGAAGACAGCCTACCTGAGATTTTTTCCATCTCTTCCAATAGCTTTTCCAGGTCCTTATTCAGGTCGGACAGCATTTTCAGCATGTTATCATAGTTTCTTTCCCCAGGATCAGAGTCAGCCATCTAAGCAGTGAACAAAAAGAAGCTGCATGGGATATATTGGCGTTTTAGTTCCCACCCTGCAGCTCATAGAGCAATCTCTGAACAACTGCTACCCTATCTGTCAAGGGTTGAATACATGTCTTATGCCCTAGAGGTACTGGAGGTTAGATGGAAATGTGTGAGGGTCCACACAGACTATAACATGTGTTGGTTGTTCTTTTCTTTCTTTGATCCTTTCTCTTTTTTGTTTTGTTTGTTTTTGTTTGTTTTTGAGACAGGGTTTCTCTGTGTAATAGTCCTGGTTGTTCTGGAACTCACTCTGTAGACCAGGCTGGCCTCAAACTCACAGAGATCTGCCTGCCTCTGTCTCCCGAGTTCTGGGATTAAAGGTGTGCGCCACCATTGCCCAGCTCTTTGACCCTTGTTAATGTGTCATACTTAGCTTCAGATGTCAACTTGATACATCTGGGAAGATGGGATCTCAACTGAAGAATTGCTTCCATTGGATTGTTCTGTAGGCATGCTTGTGGGAAAATTTCTTTCTTTCTTCCTTTCTTTCTTTCTTTCTTTCTTTTTTCTTTTTCTTTCTTTCTTTTTTTTTTGGTTATTCAAGACAGGGTTTCTCTGTCGCTTTGGAGCCTGTCCTGGAACTAGCTCTTGTAGACCAGGCTGGTCTCGAACTCACAGAGATCTGCCTGCCTCTGCCTCCCGAATGCTGGGATTAAAGGTGTGCGCCACCACCACCCGGCTCTTTCTTTTTTAAGATTGATCGATTGATTTTTAATTTAATATGATTTTTAAAGTTTAACCTATTTTTATTTTTTATGTGTATGTGTTTTATCTGCCTGTATACACACCTGTGCATCTTGTGTATGCAGTACCTGAGAAAGCCAGAAGAGGGCATCAGATCCTCTAGAACTGAAGTTAGTTATGAGCTGCTTTGTGGGTCCTGGGGATTGAATGCTCTTAACCACTGAGCCATCTCTCGAGTCCTAAAGATTTATTTTTATTATTTTAATTAATTAATTAATTAATTAGGCTTTTCGAGACAGCGTTTCTCTGTAGCTTTGGAGCCTGTCCTGGAACTAGCTCTTGTAGCCCAGGCTGGCCTCTAACTCACAGAGATCCGCCTGCCTCTGCCTCCTGAGTGCTGGGATTAAAGGCGTGCACCACCACTGCCCACCTATTTTTATTATTTTTAAATTGTGTGTGTGTCCGTCCATCTGTCCGTTTGTCTGTCTGTGTTGGGGATATGTACATATGAGTGCTGGTGCCTATGGAGTTCAGAAGAAGACACTGAAAATCCTGTAACTGGAATTATGAATAGTTGTTAGCCACCATGTGGAAACTGAACCCAGGTCCTGTGCAAGGACATCAAGTATTCTTAGCTGCTGAGCCATCTCTCCAGCTCCCATTGGGGACATTCGGCAATCACTAATTTAAGAGGGCCATTGTGGGTGGTAACATCCCTGCTGTGAAATAATCCTTTTGTACACCATGAATATGCATTATTCTTATTGATTTAATAAACAGCCAACAGGCCAATAGCTAGGCAGGAAAGGGTTAGGCAGGAGAGGAAGATTGAGAGGACTCTGGGAAGAAGGGTGCAGGCATGAGGAGTCACCAGCCAGATGCAGAGGAAGCAGGAGATGAACATACTGTACTGAAAAAGGGTACTGCCATGTGTTGGGTGTAGAGAAGAAATATGGGTAATTTAAGTTGTAAGAGTTAATTAGTTATAAGCCTAAGCTGTCGGTTTATTTATTTATACTTAATAAGAAGTCTCTGTGTGGTTATTTGGGAGCCGGTTGGTGGGACAGAAACCCTTCCCCCACCTACATATCCAGAGAAATGGGAGGAGGAGAGCAGGTGGAAATTTTTAATAAAAATAAAATTAAAAAAGAATCAATAAAAATGCAAGCTTTGTGTTGACGTGTTAAGAAAATATAGTCTGCCCATCAAGATCCCAGCAAAATTCTTCAAAGACCTCGAAAGAACGGTACTCAATTTCATTTGGCAAAGCAAAAAATCCAGGACAGCCAAAACAATCCTGTGCAATAAAAGAACTTCTGGAGGCATCACAATCCCTGACTTCAAACTCTACTACAGAGCTACAGTACTGAAAACAGCCTGGTACTGGCATAAGAACAGACAGGAGGACCAATGGAACTGAGTAGAAGACCCAGATATCAATATACAAATCGTCGAACACCTGATATTTGATAAAGAAGCAAAAGACATCAAATGGAAAAAAGAAAGCATATTTAACAAGTGGTGCTGGCCTAACTGAATATTAACATGTAGAAAAATGAAAATAGACCCATATCTATCACCATGCACAAAACTCAAGTCCAAATGGATCAAAGACCTCAACATAAAGCCAGCCATACTGAACGTTAAAGAAGAGAAAGTGGGAAGTACACTTGAACGCATTGGCACAGGAAACCACTTCCAAAATATAATCCCAGAAGCACAGACACTTAGAGAAACAATTAATAAATGGGACCTCCTAAAACTGAAAAGCTTCTGTAAAGCAAAGGACACGGTCAACAAGACAAAACGACAGCCCACAGAATGGGAAAAGATCTTCACTAACCCCACATCAGACAGAGGCCTGATCTCCAAAATATACAAAGAACTCAAGAAATTGGACACCAAAAGATCACATAATCCACCTGGATTGTGGTAACCCCACTAAGCTGACAAATACCACTCAAAGATCAGTTTTGGACTACAAACTGCTCAAGACAACTTCAAAGTGTTTAGCTAAGATGGCACAGCCTCATAGACTACTTCAGTCAGGACTTTAGATAAGCTGTGAACTTTCCCGTCACACCAAGATAACAGTTAGCTCTCCCAGAACTTGACCATTATCTCCATTTTCTCAGGGTTTCCCAAAGCTGCTGTCACTCCCAGACAAGAGAAAGTAAATGTAAAAACAGGATACCCATTCCCAAAAGGTAGGGTGGTGGTTTTTGGCTGTTTGGTGGATTATGGATGTTTATCATTGTTTAGGGAGGTTAGTTGCAAGTTGTTATTGGTCATGGTCAGGTAGGAAACTAAATAAAGGAGATCAGATCAGGGATCTCATTCTGAAAACAAAAAAAGGGGAAGACAGAATGATAGAAAAAAGGATAGATTATTGAATCTACATTTAAACTAAAAAAAGAGCAACTACTAATCTCAAATATTTTACATTGGTATGGATTTTTGTATATTGATACAAATTTATGGATATATATATATATTTTATTTTATTTTTTTTCTTTTTCAAAACAGGGTTTCTCTGTGGTTTTGGAGCCTGTCCTGGAACTAGCTCTTGTAGACCAGGCTGGTCTCGAGTTCACAGAGATCCGCCTGCCTCTGCCTCCTGAGTGCTGGGATTAAAGGCGTGCACCACCACCGCCCGGCCTGGTTATATTTGTTATAATGTATATATTTCTATTCTTGTTTAAGGTATTGTGCCTATACAACTCATTTAACAATGTAATGTAAAGTTTTGGTCCTTGAAATTTATTATTACAAACTATTTAGGATAATTAAGAAATGCAGGCTAGTAGTTGTCATCTATAATAATCAAATTTGTGGCCACAATAGGTATGTTTTCAAGGTCAAACAGAGATATATTTTAGATAGATAGATGGTCTTCAAACACTTCAGAGACCTACAGAATATGGCATTTAATAAGTTTTAATAACATAAGGCTTTTCATGACTGTGAGACACGCCTGTTCCTGGCAGTATCAACTTACTTTGAAAAACGATGATGGACATTGAAGAACCTCTATAGAGAGTTTGTTTTCATTGTGGAAAAGTTATCTACTGGGCAAGAAACTGCCCTTACCTTGAGTGCTGGCAGTATGCTGTCCAAATTGGACAAGCAGGACAAAAGAGAAGGTGATTTCCAAATTTGCTAAGACAAGATAGGACAGTCCTTTAAAAAGCCTGCTTAGATATTCTAGGCCTGTACCCCAAAGATGGATGCCTCAACATTGCAGAGGAACCTAGGGTGACTGTCCAGGCAGACAGTGTCTGTCATTTCTATAGTTTTGGAAGTTATTTGCTCTGCACTTCCTGTTTACTCAGGTAATACTATATCCTTCTCAGGTCTCTGATAGGATTAAAGACTAGATAGTTATAGTTACAGTTTTCCTTGTTACCAAATTCAGAAAAGAAACTAACTAACAAAAGATATGTAAAGTGTATAAGGTTGAAAGGCATAAAAACTTAAGTTGTTTATCTAAGAAAATGTTTTAAGGTCTAAAAAGATATTTCTAGGTTGGAAATACAAGTTATGATAAAAAGTGAATTAGGTACAAAACTTTGAACTCACCAAGATAGGATAATTAGATCATTTTCTCCAAATATGCCAAATACAAATGGACTGAACATTATGAATGTAATTCTTACTTGATAATTGTTTTTTTTTTTTTTTTTTTTTTTTTTTTTTTTTTTTTTGAGAAAGGGTTTCTCAGTATAGCCTTGGCTGTCCTGGAACTCACTCTGTAGAACGTTGGCCTCAAACTCACAGACATCAACCTTCATCATCTGCCTCCTGAATGCTGGGATTAAAAGTGTGTGCCATTACCACTTGGTTTGATAATTGTTCTTATTGTATACAGTTTTACTTTGTTAAAAACTTTTCCTTTTAGATAAAAAAGGGGAAATGTTGCAAGATATTTGTTCTCACTGACATTCTGAAATGGACAATAAAGTTTAACCTTGAATCAGGGGCAGAATTAGTGATTGGCTAACTAGAATTCCAGAATTAGCTATAGAGGTTTTGGAGGACCCAGAACACATATAGAAAGACACAGGAAGCAGTCAGGATGGGCTGAGAAATATCTGTGGGCCCTTTGGATCAGGGAAGGAGAGAGAGAGGAGGTCACTGGTAGCTTCTCCACCACTTCTTTCATCAATCGAATTTTTACCCTGATATCTGACTCCCAACTTTTATTTAATAATAGAACAATATAAAAAATGTTTCAAATGGTGCTACCCACAATGGGGTCTTCCAACCTCAGCTCATGAGATCAAGAAAATCCCCCACAGACCTCCTCACAGACCAATCTGATTTGTATAAATCCCTTATTGAGACTGTGTTCCCATGTTGATTCTAGCTTGTGTAAAGTTGAGAATTCAAACTAACTGGACAATTCTCTTCCTTGTTAACTCAACACACAAACATATAATTTTGACCTATAGTCTTCTCCCCCTTGTATTTATTATATTTACTCATATTTATTTCATAATGTAAAATACAGCCCAACTTTAATAGTTCCCAGAGCCTTTTAAGATTCCAACACTGTAAAAGTCCTAGTTTCTTAACTATGAGATTTGTACTTCAACAAAATACTGACATGGCATGTGTAAACATTCTTATTCCGAAAAGGAAGGGCAGAGCTATGAAACAATTTCGCCAAAGCAAAACCAAAATCTAGTGAGGAAAATACCTAATTGTGTAGTTCCACGTCCAGCATCTGGATTCATGACGCATTCTGATGGGCTCAAAAGTAGCCCTGTGCCCTCCAGCTGTTACTTGCCGCATACACAGCTTTCCTTTTAGGCTTAGGCTGGCTCTATTCCACAACTATGGCTGTGGAAGATGTCCCACTGTCCTGGCATCTCCACTGCAACTAAGGCTTTGCCTTCTCAGCCTCATTCAGTGGTCTTTCCGGAGCTCTCAACAGGGTCTCTAACCCTGTCGCATGGTATCCAGCTTCAGCTATCCTTCACAGTCAACTGAATCTTGAATACATCATGCTTTCAAAACCAGCATCACGTGAAACAATGTTTACAACACTGCCCAGTTCTGCTGCTAGTTTATGACGTACTCTGGCCTCCTTGGACCACAGCTGTGTCACCTTTTGTGTGCTGATCCGAGGAACACTTCCTGTTGTCCCAGTGCAGAGCAGGAAACGAACCACATGGTACTGATCTCTCTCTTACAACTGCTTCTTTAGCGCCAGCTTGAACATCATGTTGCTTTGAAATTTCCTCTGCTGAATAAATCTGTCAATTACCTTCAAATTCAACTTCACTTGTGATCTCAAGATATGAGCAGATGATTATCCACGTAAATGGTCATTATCCCAGTTCCTATTAGAGTTCTTGTTCCCATCTGAAACCTTTGAGCTGGGCCTCCACTCTCCATTTTTCTCAGTATCTTTTTTTTCCAAGCACAATGGCCCATTAAGCTATGCTTACATCATTCAATAGCTTTTCTAGTCCGAAGTACCAAAGTGTTCCACATTCTTTGCACAAAAAGCAATTCCAGGACAGGTGAGATGGCTTTGCTGATAGGAGTGCTTTCTGCTAAGCCTAACAACCAGAGTTCAATTCCTGGAAACCCACACTATGAAAGGAGAGAAGTGACTCTCATCTCTTTTCTCCACAATCTCTCTCTCTCTCTGAGACAGGGTTTCTCTCTGTAGCTTTGGAGCTTGTCCTGGTACTCACTCTGTAGACCAGGCTGTTTTTGAACTCACAGAGATTCGCCTGCCTCTGTCTCTCTGCCTCCCAAGTGCTGGAATTAAAGGTGTGCACCACCACTGCCTGGCTCTCTCCCTCTGTTTTATCTTCTCTCCCATTTCCCATTTGATCTCCGTTCTTCCTTCCTAGCATCTGTCTCTTGCCATGCCTCTCTCTATATAGAGGTCCTTCTCACCCACACCCACCCCCCTGCAAATGGTTCCTTTCTGTTTTTCTGGCTGGTTACACTAAGTTACACACTCAAACCTAAAGATTCAAATCTAGGAACCCCCCCCAAAAAAAACAATATAAATTATTGCCATTGTCCTTGTTTGATTGCCATACATGAGGGTAATACCCTATTGCTGAAGACACCATAAAAATCTGTCACAGTACTTGAAGAAATGAAACTGGTATCTGGAAGCATCTTCCTTAAGGGTTAGCTCTCATAGTGTCAAAAAGGTGACAGGTGAGCTGCCAAAGGAGAAAAGTTATCAACAATTCTACCTCTCTGTAAAGTTCAAGAACCACAACTACAGTATTGGCAAGATATCCCTAATGGTGCAATAGTGGCACTTTTATCTGGGGGGCAACCAAAAGCCTGCTTAATTCAGGGGAACTATCCCTGGTCCTGTAAACCCAGCTAAAAAACCCATGGCAGAAGAGGTTACAGAGCCTAGAGGATAATCTGCTACAAGCATACTGCTAATAATATAGCTTACAACTTCCTTCTAAATACTTATTCTTATATTCATAGGTGCAGCTCTCAATCCTCTTCGATGATACTTCTTTTTGTAGCAGATGGAGGATATTACAGAGATACTACCATCTGTTGAAATGGTCAAAATGTAGAGACTGGGTGAGGATGAGGTGCTAGATGTCCTACTCGGGGCTGAGGAATATTGTAGAGAGAAGGAGATGAAAAGATTGTAAGAGCCTGAGGACCAGGATGACTGCTGTAAGACACTGTCTTCTGGACATTACAGGGATGTCATAAACACAAACACTTAACAATATAATTGTCTGCTGAAAATACCATACCCATCAACATGCCAGTGTGGCTGGAGGAAGATATCACATGGCTGCATCCCCAGAAGAAGAGCTATAGGCAGTCAATGGCTGATGAGGAAGGGTAAACCAGCTTTCCTCAGGGACAAGTACCCAACCCTAAGTGGTTGGCTTTAAACACATACACATATGAGCAACACTAATTAGACTCAGGAGGTTCACATACACATATGTCATATATATATATTATATACACATAATAGTGCAATAGTTATAGAAGACAAAGTAATAAAATTGAGAGGTGGTGGTGGTACACATGAAGAATTGGAGGGGTGAAAAATCATGCTAGCACAGTGCACTTGTATACAATTCTTAACATTTTAGGAATTTGAACACTGAATAAGATAAAGTTGGGTTTCAAAATTTTAATGAAATGTCAATTATTTATTGATCTTTTTTCTTTACTTGTTTTTGAGACAAGGTCCCATGTAGCTTAGGCCGGCCTCAGACTTGCTTTGTAACTGAAGATGATCTTGAACTCCTGATCCTCCTTCCTCTTTTCTCAGGTGCTAGGATTATAGGTATGTACCATTATCCTTGGCATAAATGTTCATTTAAGAAGGTAAAGTATCTGGGCATAGTGGCACATGCTTGTAATCCAGCATTAGGGAATTAGAAGGAGAAGGATCAAGAACTCAAGGTTAGGGGCTGGAGTGATGGCTCAGAGGGTAAGAGCACTAACTGCTCTACCAAAGGTTCTGAGTTCAATTCCCAGCAGCCACAGGTGGCTCACAACCATCTGAATTGAGATCTGGTGCCCTCTTCTGGCCTGCAGTCATACATGTGGGCACAACACTATATACATAATAAACATATATTAAAAAAAGAATTCAAGGTTATGCCAGGCGGTAGTGGCGCATGCCTTTAATCCCAGCATTCGGAGGGCAGAGGCAGGCAAACCCCTGTGAGTTCGAGGCCAGCCTGGTCTACAAGAGCTAGTTCCAGGACAGCTAGCTTGAAACCCTGTCTTGAAACCACCTCCCCCCCAAAAAAGAATTTAAGGTTAACTTATCCTCAGCTACATAATGGGTCTGAGGCCAGCCTAAGTTACATGACATCTTGCCTCAAACAAATAAAACCAAAACAGCGGCCACTCTGGAAAATTCTCAAAAAATTTGAGAGTTCTCAAAAAACTAAAAACAAACCTACCATATAGCCAGCTATACCACTGCTGGGCACATGTCCAAAGGTTTTAACATCCTACTGCATTCATACCTGCATCATTCTATTTACAATATCTAGGATAAGGAAACACCCTAAATGTCCTTCAACTGGTGAACGGGTAATGAAAATAGGCTGCAGATTCACAGAGGAACACTATTCAGCTGCAAAATGAAAGTAGGAAATTTGTAAGTAAATGGATGGAACTGGAAAAGATTATCCAGACCCAGAAAGACAAAGACCACGTTTTCTCTTATTTGTGGATGCTAGCTCTGAATCTTCAGAAAAGAGTCATAGTGTTCTACTGCTGTGAAGAGACACTATGATCAAGGCAACTCTTATAAAAGAAAGCAACTTGGGGCTCATACTTCCCAAGAGTAGTAGAGTCCATGACCTTCATGGCAGAAACAGACATGCATGGCACTGGAGCAGTTGCTAAAAGCATTAGATCCTGCTTAGCAGGCAGAGAGGAAGAGAGGGAGAGAGGGAGAGAGGGAGAGAGAGGGGGGGGGAGAGAGAGAGAGAGAGAGAGAGAGAGACTGAGCCACCAAAGCATGTGTGAAACCTCAAAACCCACCCCCAGTGACACATACCTCCTGCAACAGGGCTACACCTTCTCCAACAAGGCCACAGCTCCTAGTCCTTCCCAAACAGTTTCCCTAACTGGTGACCAAGCACTCAAGCATATGAGCCTATGGGGCCATTCTCATTCCAGCCACCACAGTGAGTAGATAATCTGAATAGCTACAGATAACAGAAAATTCTGAAGGAAAGATGGCAGCTGAGTGTGGTGGCACATACCTTTAACCCAACACTGAGGAAGCAGAGGCAGAAGGATCTGTATGAGTTCAAGGCCATACTGGCCTATACAGGGAGTTACAGGTCAGCAAAGGCTACATAGTAAGGTGCTGTTTCAAAAAAAGGAGGTCTATGGGGGTGGGGAGGAGAGGGGATGAGTAGGATGCAGTTGCTATGAAGGGGGAAATGGGAAAAATAGGTGGGGAACCTTACATAGGGATGGGGAGGGCAACACAGAGAGGGGCAAATAAATAATACTAAGGATAATTGAAATGCCATATTTAAAATTACAGTATATGCACACACATACACACACAATTCATATGCAATTGTATATGTGTATAGTTTAGTTGAAGTTACGTCAACTGGGGTGACAATACTCCTCACACCATCCCCCTCCTGTTTCCATGTCCGGTGTGGTGGCACACACCCTTAATCCCAACACTTGGGAGACAGAGGCAGGTGGATCTTTGTGAGTTCTAGGTCAGCGTGGTCTACAAAGTGAGCTCCAGTACAGCCAGGACTGTTACACAGAAAAACTGTGTCTCGAAAAACCAAAAGAAGGGGGAAAAGCCCTTTGCCAGGCATAGGTAACTTCCTTTTGAGTTTTTGGTCAGGGCGATTCAAGAGGACCCCCTCTGCCCAAACAATATAGACTACAGCCAATGCCCTTAGTGCCTTACAGAAAAAGAAGGTAAGACCGTTTTGCTGATGCTACCACCCACTTTGGACACTGGGCTTGGAAGAACCAATTTGGCTATGATACGGAAGCCTCATCCTTGAGGACTAGCTCTCATACTACCAGAAGGAGCCACACAAACTGCAGAGGGAAAAAAGCAATCGATAGTCCTAACCAGCTGTAATGCCTCCGTACTACAATAATGACTGGCATAACAAGGGTGGCACTTGTGGGTAACCAACAGCAACCTGATTGGACTTAAGGCCCACTCGCTAGGAGGGGACTCATGCTTGGCATGATAAAATCAGCCAACTACCTGTGGATGGTAAAGCCATTGAAACAAGAGCAGAACTACAACTGCTAATTTCCTAAACCAGTATAATTCCTAATGGCATCCTAAATAGTTGTTCAAGCATCCAAATACCTGAGCCTATGGGGGCCATTCTCAAATCACCACATTCCACTCCCTGGCTCCCATTGATTGTATCCATATCATAACACAAAAATGCGTTCAATTCAACTTCCGAAGTCCTCAGACATAGTCTAT